CATCAAAACACAAGAAATTCAAATGTGGTCGAGCGATATTACGCATCAATTGTCCAAAATAAATAGAGTGAATAGGACCATATTTACCACAGAACTACAACTACAACTTTTTACTACTCAACAAATCTGAAAATAAAAAATATATTAAGGTTTTTACTTGAGATAAAAAAGCCAGTGTCACGAGCGGGATTCGAATGAAAAATGACAAAAAGAAGGGAAAATTCAAAAGGTGGGGTTGAGATGGGAAGTTAGTGTCCGAGTGGAACAAGGTCACGATAGCCCAAGTGGTAGAGCAGCGGCGTATCTGGCCGAAGATCGTGGGTTCGAATCCAGCTCGTGACACTTACCTTTTTATCTCAACTAAAAACCTTAATTAATTGAAAGATATTGTTTAACGTTGAGAAACAATTTTTTGAAAAAGAAGCCTCAAACATCAATAAATTGCTAAATATGTCTATCAATTAATCAGTCACACTAATTAAGCTTTGCTGCTTTCCAGCTTCGTGCGGTTAGCCTAAAAAAGTTCACCCGCATAACTTTTATATTTTTCAATAATCGTTATTTATAACCATTCAATGGTCCTAATTTTTATACAAGTTATTAACATCATGCCAGCAATGTCAAGTGCACGCAATATCGATTTTATTGACATCACGCTTTCTAATGGAACCATGAATTATCAATACGTAAATCACTCCTGTTCGTAGCACATCGTTCGGAATATCACTTGTGCAATAGGTCGTATAACCATTGGGAAAATATATTGGATTGTTTTACCAAAATAACGTTTGACATCAAAATGCTGCGACGTTTTTAGAGCTGGGGGTGTTGCGTACCATCTAGATTAAAATTCCTTCGGGAACCATAGAGATTCCGATCGTTCGGGGAAAGATCATTCGCTTCGCTTCAAGACAATATTCCGAAACTTTCTTATCTCTTCTAGAATTTTTTCCCCAAGTTTCCGATACAGGAAATCTTTCTTCGCAATATTCCGCGTTGAAATATTTGATGCCTTCGTTTAAATTAGGGTCGTTTATCAGATTAGTCGAGAGTCGTTGCTTTGTGCGACAGTAAGAAGCTTTGTTGCTTATTCTGCTTTTTATTCAAAGCTTTGTTGCTTATTCTGCTCTTTATTCAGTTGCCGCAAGCGCTAAGTAGCATAACACGATTAGCGACGAGGAAATTTTCCTCACCTTGCCATCCTAAAGAAGCCCTTTTTTATAATTAAGGAAAATATTTACCAATCTATTTAAATATGTTACAGTGTTCTGAAGTTGACAATTTATTTCATGTAAATAACTTTAAATGAACTTAACTTACAAATTTTCTGCTCGTTGAAATTATCTTTACTTAAATATAGAACCGCTCATCTTTTATGTATTTCAAGTTTGATAAATATCATTATTTATCATATTTACACTTTAATCTGAATTTAATAAACACGTTGATAATAAAGGCTCTGTTCAATATGTAATTTTATTGTAGACAGTAAAATATTAAAAATGGCTTTTAGTTAAATATTCAACCTTTCTAACTTTTCTTGCTATCATTTGCAAAGTAAACCTTATTTTTGTATTAACTGTATTAATTAAATTATTATTTCACTTTATGTATAATTTTAAATAGAATAGAGTAAATTCCAGGAAAAATAAAATAAACCTATGGAGATAATTATGTGGAGATGGTGATCTGGTGTGACGTAGGTTTTAATAAACAATTTTCTTTATCACGCCAACGTTTCGATCTTAATTGAGTTCATCTTCAGCACCTGGGATTTATAAACATTGTTTCAATTAAAAAAATTTTTTTTTATCCATTGCTTCAAAATTTTAGATTAACAAAAAATTATACAATGTTAGAAAATTTTAGATTAAGAAAAAAATGAATTTATTCAATGCTAGAAAATTTTAGATTCAATCAAAGTATTTGTACTCACTCAAAGTGTTTGTTTTCCATGTAGATGTGTCATTCTTGTTCCTGTGTTTCGTGTTGATAGTGCCAATGATATTTTGCTTGTTCAAAATGGTCGATAGCCAGTGCTGTAGATTTTGGACCACCAACACAATTTCGACTTTAATAATCCAAAAATATTACACACTTAAAAAAACAAACATAAACGTAACTTTTTAGAAATGGTTTACATCAACAGAGATAAACACAGCATCAATTACAGAACAGACACATGTAAACTCAGTCCCAGCTATGCCAACATCATTAATCAAATTCAATATCGATAACATAAATATATCATCATCACATCACACAAAACATACAATATAACCCATTATAAACTTCACTAATTTTCGTGATCCACATGACCAATTAAATCTTTCAATAATTAAGGATTTTATTTGAGATGAAAAAAAGACGGTTTTTAGTTGGCAAAAAAGGAGGGAAAATTCAAAAGGTGGGGTTGAGATGGGTAGTTAGTGTCCAAGTGGATCGTAGTCACGATAGCTCAGGTGGTAGAGCAGCGGTGTATCTAGCCGAAGATCGTGGGTTCTAATCCCGCTCGTGGCACTGACGTTTTATCTCAAGTAAAAATCTTAAAATCGTAATAGAAAAATTAATTGAAAGATATGAATTGGTCAAGCGGACCACGAAAACAAGTGAATTTAATAATTATTCAGAAATCGTGAGATGCGGTCTGGTGTGATGTAGGTTTCAGAAAAACATTTTCTTTGACGTGCCAACGTTTCGATTTTTATTGAGCTCATCTTCAGGGCTTGGATTTACAAAAATTATTTATATTTAACAAATACATGTAGGATGTAGAAAAATGTGAATATATACAATGTAAAAAATATTTTTTATATTCAATCAAAGTATTTTTACTGACTCAAAGTGTTTGTTTTCTGTGTAATTGTTCATTTTTGCGTGTCGTGTTGGGAGTGCCAGTGAATTTAATGAGTTAAAATGAAATACTAAAGCTCTCCGTGGCCATTTCATTTGTCGCCGAGAATCAAATAGATTACACGACATTTGAAAATGGCAAAAAGGAGGGAAAATTCAAAGGTGGTGTTGAGATGGGAAGTTAGTGTCCGAGTGGATCGAAGTCACGATAGCTTAAGCGGTAGAGTAGCGCGTACCTAGCCGAAGGTCGTGGTTTTTTATCCTGCTCGTGACACTGACTTTTTTATCTCAACTAAAAACCTTAATTAATTGAAAGATAATAATTGGTCAAGCGGACCAGGGAAACTAGTGAATTTAAAAAGATCGAAACGTTGGTATGATTACGAAAAGTTTTTCAAAAACCTACGTCACACCAGACCGCTGGCTCACTATGTCCAAATAATCATTGGCTTTCGGTCACTAAACTCCACACATTCCTACTATGACGATATTTCATTAGATCTCGCATTCGTACACAATTGCATGTTCTATTTGCTAACACTTACGCTAAAGGTGATCAGATATTTATCAAAATCAAGTTCCGTGGTATAATAGTTTAAATTTTATTCTATTTTTGCATAGTTGAAGAATATTAATTATTTGATACATTAATAACTCAATTTATGTATTTCAAAAATGTTAAACATATTTTTTTTATTAGTTAAAAAACTAGCACGGGTACATTCAGCCGGTAAGCGACCCGGTAGTTGCTCGTTTTGGAAGGATTGAATAACCGTCTGGCACTTTTCCACAGACGGACAAGTCTTGATGCATAGGCATTATTTTGGCATATCGTCGAACATGTTCGTAGCCGTAGGGCCCTGCAGTGGCCTGTCGCTGTTCCTGTACCTCCGGTCTATAGGGAATGTTAAATGTATACAGTGTTTGGGTCGATTTTATGTTAATTTATGGGAATGAATTTATTTTATTAGCATGAAAGGAAGCGGTTTTCTAACCGCGCCCCGAAGACTACCGAGTACTCTGAGGGAGACTTCTCTGTTTTTATCGGGTCGTGATTGGTTACGAGAGTCGTTGGAATATTAAGCACTACCGACGCCAAACTAAAGCCAAAAGCGGAAACTACAACTTCTTTTAAATTAGGAAATTTTGATTTTTCGTTTAAACGCAAAACAGAAAATAGTAAAATCTCGGCGATACACGGCTTGTATTACAAAAGAAATTAAACGCATATTTGTACGAATACGGGTTGACAGAATTGGAGGGAATTAATAAAATCTTATATAGAAACTCTTTTCAATTAATTAAGGTTTTGGTTGGGATAAAAAAGTCAGTGTCACAAGCGGGATTTGAATCCACGACCTTCGGCTAAATACGCCGCTGCTCTACCACTTGAGCTAACGTGACCTCGATCCACTGGGACACTAACTTCCCATCTCAACCCCACCTTTTGAATTTTCCCCTCCTTTTTGCCATTTTTCTTATATAGAAACTATAAATTTGTTAAACAGGCAATCGATAATCAAGTTATTTTATTCCTACTCGTATACTGTTTTCAGTTCTGTTGACATTGATAAATCTTTTTTCGAAGTACAAATATTTATTGAGCAAATAACGCTTTAGCTTTACAGAAACTAAATTAGAAATGTATCTCACTGTGAATTTTAATTACCTTACGGCTTACTATACAATGTGTATGTATACAATTTTAAATTATATATTTAAATACATATACGTAAATGAGATTATTCTGTTCCATTTATTTAAAAATGAATGTGTACTAGACCAGTAAGGCAAATATAAACTTAGTTACACAAAAGTTACTTATCAGTCGGGTGATGTCTCTGTTATTTATGCTGCGCATTTTAATATTTTTATTTTAAATTATGTGGCAAAATGGAAATTTTTATTGAACATAATATTGCATATTTGAGGTTTTAATAGTACATTCTGTATTTGAGGATTTTTATTGTACATAAATCTGGGTTGTACGGACGTGATGAATTGTTGTTATGAAGAGCAGATCTTCAACGAAGTGAGAACTTATAAGACATGGAGGATACTGAAACGGTTGCAGTGTTAATACTCTTTAAGGAACCAGCATAAGAATCGAATGGTTGTTTCGTTTATTTACCTTCCTAATGTCTAATGCCATACTGAGATAATGCGTTTGATTTGCCAGGTGCTTGAGGAGAGGATGGAGGATCAGTGGTGCCTGGAAAAGACTTGAGGGCGGGAGGACGTCCAGGCCGGGAGGAGGAATGGGGGGCCGTTGAGTGTTTCCGTGGACTCGGAATGGAGTCGAGCAAGTCGGCGCCGGCGTCGCCGGTCGCCTCGCCCCCGCCGCATCATCCGCCGGCTCAGCGGCAGCCGAACATGGACCTCATCATCGGCGACTGCATGGACCGACTGGGGACGAGAATCGGCCTCCTAGAGTCCGAGCTGCGGTACGCTTGGCGCGCCCTGGACCTCCTCTCTCAGGAGTACATCAAGATGTGGGAGAGATTGGAGAAACTGGAATTTCTCCTTTGCGAGCAGCAGGGCGTCATATCCCAGCTGATCGATTTCTACTCCGCAGTCGAAAGTGGTGATGGTGCTGTAAGTTGCAGCATCGAAGAGGCCCGCGAGAGTTCATGCATGGATGTCGTCCCTATCGGGCCGATAGTGACCGATAACGATCTTGCCATTTCATCGGCAACGGACGCGCTAATATCCGAGTTGAAGCTCAAGATGGGCATGGATGACATGAATCTTCCGGATGAAGCCTTCTACCGTAGTTTAAATAATGCATATCGCAACGACCTTGTATCATCAGTCCAACCTCCGATGGCGATGTCGAGTTCGTCACAACTCGGAATGATATGGGAAGAGCCAGAAGAGGATAGCAACGGGAACGGTAGAAGAGAAGATAGTAAAAAACTGACGGAATCTTACGGTTCTGCAGATTTCAAAACTTACAGAGCTTCCTCTCCAATAATAATCGAGCAGGATATTAAACAATTGACGGATTTGAGTACAATGGACCAAGCTGCAATAGAAAAGCTTAAAGAATTAGATATCCTGACAACGAAACTCCAGAAAGACTCGAAAAATTTGAAAGAGTTGCAAGACCGTCTACTGTCTGAGTCTCCGAAGCGAAAATATCTTAAGGATCCCAATGACATGGAGACCGTACGTGAAGGTGCAAACGAGTTGGACGAACAGATAAGTAGGATGTACGAAGAAAGTGGGATTGATAATTGGAGTTTTTCTGGCGTTCAGGGAGAAGAAATTAGAAAAACAAGTTCTTTGAATCCTTTCGAGGCAGAAGCGGAGGACGAGATGTCGAGAAGCCTTAACTTTCCTACCACAACACTCCCTAGAACTCCTACATCTCCAAGAAGGAGATTAGAGGATAATTTATACGGGTCTTCTACGCTGAGAAATACCAGCCCGTTGTCCGTTAGAGAATGCACTCGGTCCTTACCTACATCACCGAAATACAAAGAAAGTGAAAGGATGAGCCCTTACTCAACATCCGCCGTCATGGAACCTGTCGAAATATCCTACGATGTGGCAAGATCTTGTATCTTTAATGAGCAAGAACTTGACAAGTTTTCCGGTAGTATCAGGACACGGCAGGACGGCTATATCGGGTCGGAGAACGATCACCATCAGATGGAAACAGCTCAAATCCAGTTATCAAGCAGCCCTCCGCCTCCTGCTCCACAAGACTGTACTTCTATATTTCTTATGCCAGCATCGGAAGTACCGAGTGAAACATATCAACCATCCAGTGAAATCCCGTCTTTCAGCGGTGAGGGGCTGAGCGCAAGCACTATTGAACATCAGCAATCACAAGGGCTAAGCCCTCGCACACCACACTCTCCGAAATCCCCGAGGACATCGCCTAAGCAAATTAACCGAACGTGTGCTAGAATAGCATCAGCTAAATCTGATTCAGGTCTGTCGTCAATGAGTGGATGGTCGAGCCTGGAAAAATCGCCCGGCTCTCCGAAAGCAACAAAAACGCCGTCTCACACGGATGGTGTACTTCACCACTCTAATAGATTGCCTTTAAACCAACCGCGAACTTATCACTCAGCCCCTGTTCATTCTATTAACGAATACAACGAAGCCGATGCAAATTATAGTGATAATAGCAATGGGTATAACGGCGTCCTTCCTGGTGGCCACAGAACTTCGTCTTTTACGACCGTTCGAACACCAACGAGCTTACAGGACGCCGCGCAAGAAGGTTTCGTTCCACCTCCAGCCCCGGAAATGTCGGTCACGGCTAAAAAAAGGCATAAGTCTTATGATTACCCTCAACGCCATCACTATAGCCACGACTACACATACCAAACTGAACAACCACCCGTTATATATTCAGTTGCAGGAAGTAATCGTCAGCACCCTTTCACATCGGTGTACACGAGTAGGTCGTCAACTGTCCCCACCACTACACTCTCTTCCTACCCCGACATTATCGGACATTACGCCCAAGAATTATACAGACAGCCTGTAGTAGAACGGCAAGTGCCTTCCTACGAACAACAAAAAAAATTTTCAACCAGTTCCTTTCCGGCGAGGCAAAATAAAAGAACCTTACAGCGTGTTTATTCGACGGGGTCGGTGCCAAACCAGCAAATAACAGGTGATATGATGACAAGTCATGAAGGCTATAAAACAGCTATGTACCGTACGATGTTTCCGACTGGAAACATCACGGATGCTTTAACTTATTATCCGACGGGAAGTATAAGTAGACCAATTCAGCATGAACAAACGGGACCAAGAATAGCGTACCAAGAACAATGGGTTCAAGAATCGCCTGATGCGGACCTTAGTAGAGAGTCTAGCGCGAGTACTATCCGTTCCGCAAGTACGGTATATGACAGGGAACTTCATGCAGGAGTACCTATGTACGAAGTAAGGTACGATGCTAAGATACCACCCCAAAAACCATTTAGATCGGATATTTCACACCACCAACAATTGGGAGGGGGTTGGATTCAACCGGAAGACAACCACAGAGTTCTAATAGAGCAGCGGCCTAATTCATTACCAGATCAACGGATTAACCAACAAGAATATTACGATCCGAGCAGTGTGATAGTTTCACAGTCGGGTTACATATCGTTCTCTTCTGACCTAAAAGAAACAATACCAGAAGATAAACCGAAAAAACCTAAAAGGCATGCTACACTGAAGCACGCAATGAGTCAAGTTTCGAATTGGCTGCCTGAATTTCATTTACCAAAAAGACATCGATCGCACTCTTTACCATCTGGAGTACGAAGGGAAGATTTAGTAGGCCCAAAAGAAACACAACCATGCTCTCAAACTGTCAAGGTTTCAGGAACTCTACCTCGTAAGAAAAAACGACACCATGCCATTTATTCGACTATGTCTGGAATATTACAAAAAGCGAAACGGAGAGGAGGTGCTCCTCATTCCATGTCGGATCCCGAACAATCAGAAACTGAATGGGGCGGAAGTGGTAAGCACAGTACAGTATCAGAAGACAGCGAAGACAGCGTTTTCACAGATTCTAACCAGGACTCTCGATTTTTAAAACTACAAAGATCGATTCCACCCCCGCGACCTCCACAACCGGTTATTAAACAGCAGCAAAGCGTCGACTCGGTTATGCAATTCGCTATGGTGCAAAAGCCATCAACGCAACCTCTACAACCTGCACAACCGATACACGTGCCACAAAAACAAACAATTACTAAAATATACCCTGAACAATCCCAATCAGAACAACAGCAAAACTTGCAGAACACGATCCCGATCGTAGTTCAGAAAAATGATGAAATGGAAAAACAAGATGAATTCTATGCGGAAGAAGTGATTCCTCCAGTAGTTTCCAATTCAGAACGAAAACCTGAACAACAAACTTTCACAGGAGTATTCGATGCAGAAGAAACTTCATCTTTATTCCAGACGGTGGGTGAAGCTAAAAAGTTCACTGGGGCGAAAGAAGAGGATTCAAAAGAGTTGGCTAATGCGACTCCAGTTACTGTGGTGCCAGCTTCAAGAGAATTTGCCGTTAGCAGAGCATTGGGAAAATACAGAAGGAGACAGTCTTCGTCGATTTCTGACGACGATTGCATAAAACCAGAAGATATGTTCGCTATAATCACTCAAGACGAGGAGGAAGAAGAGATGAGAAGAAATGAGATATTCGAAAGAATAAGTTCAGAAGAAAGTAATAAATTACCGCAAAGCAGTTCACAACCTGAAATCCTTCCCGTTGTAGAAAATCACATATATCATGCCAATAACCAATCAAGGCCTCATAGTGGAGGAAGGCATTTATCGAGACATCAACAGAGTCTAGAAATACCATGGGGCGGAAGAGGGTCAGGAGACACGGACGATGATAACCGGAGTACACACTCTTGGAGGAGCACGTCCCGAGTCTCCTCTAGGAGGCAAAGTACCGAAGACAGTATCGACAGCGAGGACGAATGGTACTGCTACGAACTCCGGAAACTCGAAGAAATGGAGAAAACTGGAAACTCGTTCGAGCTTCCACACGATAACGAAAAAGAAATCAATGAGCTAAAAGAAAAAATGCGGTTACAAATGTCGTCCGTTTTAGTCGAACTTCAGTCAAAAATAGTTCCAAAAGCGGACATAGAAGAAGAAAAGAAGATCCAATCGCAAACACAGCGTATAGCGGAAGGTCAAGAGCCCGAAAGAAAAGACAGCATTTCCAGTGCGAGGCACTTAGACGCCGAAGACGTATCTTCTGGAGAGACGAGCGGTCCAGACTCCCCACAGCAAAGTGGAGACGAAATCGAAGAAGAAGATTTCGAAGGTTCTCGAGACAAGATACGAAGAAGTTCCACATCGACAATGAAGCAGGCGGAAAAACCAAGCCGAGAGGGTTCCATCAGTGTTCCGCCTAGTGAAGCTTCCGTTTCTTTGCCGGAAGGCTGGTCCGGAAGCGAAGACACAGCCATCAGGGAAGATTCAGCAAGCGTACATGATTTGGAAGACACCGGTCCAGGTACGCCTTCTCTGCCAAGGTTTAAGTTCGACCCCGATGTGTCACCCGGTCCACCTGGAAAAGAAGAACTCTCGGGAAAGGACGGGCCTCTCGGAAGCAAATGGAAACTCTTAAAAGCTCTCAAAGAAAGAAAAGCAGAAGAGAAAGTTCAAGAAGCAGAGAAAAAAGAAGCTGCTTCGACTACTACGACATCCGTAAGTTGTAATTTAGAATAAAAAAAGTGATTATTAAAATTATATGCCAAAATGTTGTTTATATAATCATCGTGGAATGATATTTAAAAACTAATTACCCTTTATTATTACTAAAATTTCCAAACTCAAATTCATAGGGATTTCATTTATTTAACACAAATTAAAAAATCACCTCTTTCAAAGAGTTACAAAATTAAATAATTTTTTTTTTTCAAATACTGTTCCTTCTTCTTTAGAAAACGACTAAAAAATACATGGTAAAAATTATCACTGTGCTTTAAACAACGAAACTTGCCTCGAGCTTCTGCCGCCACTGGCAAGGTTTCCCTCCACAGGAAATGATTCAATTCCTAATTAGTAGTAAACCCGGCTGGATTTTAAGTCTTTGAGTCCTTAGACAAGCGGGAAAATTACTCCGGGCTGAAGTTTGCTCATTACCAACCCATTAACAAGCCCGGGTGATAAAGGTTTACTTTTTCTTTGATTTCCATTCAAAAATACCTTCTAAAAATAACACCGTTTAAAAGAGGTAATTTTTAAGATATTATCCTAAAAGTGAAAATTAAATAACTTCTAAACTCTAAGTTAATTATTTTAATATGCATACATTAAATATTTAATTTATATACATATATATATATATATATATAAATCTATTTAATCTTATTAAACTGTCTTCCATCTGCCTACCTATTTACCTACCTACATATGTATCTCCATATNGAATTAGTAGGTGCTGTAATCGACAAGAAAATCGTGGAGTGAAACACTGTAATTAAAACAACGATATAAAGATTACAATTAACGTCTAAATACAAAACAAAATTCCGTCGTGCTTCCATTTTTTTTTTGCCCCAAAACCTTCTGAACCTCATCGCCCCCCCTCCACACGTCACTTCAGCCTGGGCGTTGACGTCATTGCTGTACATGGTTAGGGATGGTTAATTAGTGGTACAATGGTTAATAATAATCTTTATGTCGTTTGTCGTTGTGTTAATTACAGTGTTTCACTCCACGATTGCCTTGTCAATTTGAGCACCTATTAATTCCATATATATATAATACATATATATATGTATATACGTATATATGTATATACGTGTATATATATATATGTCCCGTTCAGATTTAAATGAACCGCCATGCCCCTCCACACACTCAAACAGTGAAAAGAGTAGGGGCCAAGAAAGGGCTCTTTTTTATATCCCTTTTACATATTCCTTTCTGGCTTGTGTGGGTAAACAGCTATTTTTGGTAAAAAGAAAAATTTGGTGTGCACACTATTCAAGTGAGTTAATTTTTATTACGTTGACGTCAAAATAAAAATTAATAATTGTATTAAAAGGGTATATATTTTTATTTAAAAAAATAAAAGAAATAATATTTCATTTTAAAAGTTGTGTTAATATTTTAATTGTATTTTCTAATTNAAACAATGGCGCTATCAAAAACCCAAAAATAAGTGTTTAATAGTTTTTTAGTCTTGTTTCAAATTTTTATCTTTTTTTGGAGAAAAATTATACAAGGTACCACAGGCCAACTTTCAATGTCAAAATTTCAAACATGTCCCTGTACATATTGACACATCATTTCAAAGGCTTTTGTACCTTCAAAACAATGGTACAATCGGATTTGAAATTCGTCAAAAAATGAACAAGTTATGGCAAAATATTTGCATTTCGTTTGTCTCGTTGTTAATTCCAATAATTTGCTTCTTCGCTAAAGTAAAGATTAATTGCCTTTATTGTTTACATTCTTTCATTGCTTGTCAATTGCTCGCATTATAAGAACAAATCTTATCTCGTGGAAGCAAATAAATTTTAAATAGTACCTTTCGTCGCATTCAATATTCCATTCGAAATGAACCGAAGAGCACATTTTTTCAACCAACAGTGAGTTGTTATGGAGTGGAATAGAGTAGGTATTGCCCGTCGCGCTGTCGAGTTGTATTCCCAGAACTTTCCTGATCGCCCAAGAGAAAACCATAAAAAGTTCATTCTGTTGTTAGCGATGTGAGGAAATACGAGTCAGTTGCTGTTCCATCAACAAGACACCGGGAGCGTAATTTCGACGAGAAGCGGAATATTTTACTGTATTTCAATTAATTAAGGTTTTAGTTGAGATAAAAAAGTAAGTGTCACGAGCGGGATTCTAACACACGACCTTCGGCTAGATACGCCGCTGCTCTACTAAATGAGCTATCATGACTTCGATCCATTCGGGCACTAACTTCCCATTTCAAATTCAAAAGTTGGGGTTGAAGTGTGTGGATCGAAGTCACGATAGCTCAAGTGGTAGAGTAGTGGCGTATCTAGCCGAAGGTCGTGGGTTCGTATCCCTCTCGCGACACTGACTTTTTTATCTCAACTAAAACCTTAATTAATTGAAAGGTATTAATTGGTCAAGCGGACCACGAAAACTAGTGAATTTTATTCTATGTTCGCGAAAATCCGAATTTCTCTCTCCTAAATGTTGGGTTTTAGATTTTCAAAAAATAAAATTAGAAATGCAGTACAAACTTAGAAGTTTAACTCGTATCGTTCTCATCTTGTCCAGTGAATTCGGGACTCTGATATTGACAGGCGTCTAAATTGCGGAATTTTCATTTTTGAAATTTGGTAAAAGCATCTGTTATATCAAAATTTGTTAGTATCCTTTATCCGTGCTAATCAGAGGTCCAAGGTGATCCATGTGGATAGTCCAGAGGACTATTTTCTTTGTCTATAGTATATAGTTTTCCTTCTGCTTTATCCCTTTTTCTGTCGGCGAATATACACGGAGCACAGTTCGTGATTATTTTTTCTATTTTTTGGGTCACGCTTGGTATGCTGTATTCTCTGTCTAATTTCTATTTTTTTTTTTCTTGAAACCAATATGTCCTTCTTCGTATACTTTAGCTATTATCTCTGATTGAATCCCTTTCGGTACGACCAGCAATATATACGTTTCCGTCTTCTCTAAGCAAGACCCCCTCGTGACTAGGTTTTTATTTCAAATAATATCTTACATAATAAGATTAACTAATTGTGAGTGAATTACGTTTTTTAAATTATAGATAATGTATTTTACCGTAGAAATATTTGAAATGTATATGTAATACATATATTGGCAATATTAGAAGCAAATTCACCTTTTGGAACTCCTTGAATTTCGAGTTAACTTACAAGAAAAATCCTGTTAATAAAACTGAACTTTCTTAAACTTTTCAGATTCAAACTTTTAATCTTTTACAACAGTAAACTCCGCTCGGAAGAAATTAAACAATCGAGGGTAAACAGAAAGTTTATGAAATAATTTTTATTTTTTGCCGTATCAATGTTCACAAATTTTTCAGTTTAAAACACAATGGCTCAAATTTGTTAGCTATTTCCGAACAACACTCAAACATTGGATAGAACATCATTTCATGTAAGCTTATTTTAGTTATCAGTGGTTACGAGAAAGGAAAAGATGGAAGAAAATATAACTTTTATGCCACCACTTAGAACTTTTAGAAAATGTGGATGTGTTAATGCGTGTGTGTTTGAGTATACAAATATGGTGTAAAAAATTTAATTCTTATATTTCCGTGTTACAGAATGGTGGAGCAGGAGCTGACGGCAACCGAGGCAATGGGTAAGAAGTGATTGTACAATCAGTATTTTTCTTCAGTTTAAGGTAAAACTTATAATTTAATTCAATTAATTAAGGTTTTTAGTTGGGATAAAAAAAGTCAGTGTCACGAGCGGGATTCGAACCCACGACCTTCGGCTAGATACGCCGCTACTCTACCACTTGAGCTATCATGACGGGAAGTTAGTGTCCGAGTGGATCGAGGTCACGATAGCTCAAGTGTTAGAACAGCGGCGTATCTAACCGAAGATCGTGGGTTCAAATCCTGCTCGTGCCATTGACATTTGTATCTCAACTAAAAACTTAAATTAATTGAAAGATATTAATTGGTCAAACGGACCACGAACTTATGAACTTATCTAGTTAACTATGAACTTAACAAGAAAATTTATAGGACACTGGAGCCATAAATAGCGTTAAATTAAATGGACCAACGTGATTTAAGTACAATTCTCGCCATTTCTTAAAATTGGTCTTTAAAAACTAGAAAATTCAATATTTTCAAAATCTGTAAAATTCTTTATTTTGATGATAGCAACTCCTGCGAGACGGATTAACTAGCCAGTATATATTATGTAACAATACCTCTTTAAAGGAGACGATAATGGATGCTCGTAGACGATTGAAACGTCATTAATCAAACGATAATTAATTACCTATTGGCACATGTAACTGGAGCATATCCGAAACAAAGGGGATTTTAAAAATACCACATATTGTTCAAACTGTTGATTATTAACATCCGAACAAATTGTAAACTTGTAGAGCAGTATATTGTTTTTTTGTTTTGATTTGTAAGTAAGGTAATGCTCTCATTTTAAATGAATTTAATGTCATGTCACAGTAATTAATTTTTTATTAGAACTACAATTCAATATTATAACATTAAATTTCGTTTCCAATAATTTTTCGGAGTGTTAGGTTTAATTTGGAATGGATGTATTTATGAAACTGGCATCTCGAACTCATCCTTTCGGACAACAGGTCATTATCCGGCCTATCTTCATGCCTTTCGTGAACTATCGAGAATTAACTGTTGGAAAAAAAAAACTAAAATAATTATTTGTTAAAATTAAACTCGTCAGGGGCGATTAACAGGCTCTTCTGAATAGTTCTGACTACTTCTAGGACAATAAGTTTTGATAATATACCTCAAAGGTTTGGAAGATAATAAAATATTCGATAAAATGCTCACCTGCCCTCAACTCCTCCAATTTTCTCCCAGACCGTCAATTTGCCTTCCGAACTCAACAACCTAGTACGCACCAAGTACGGTTCAGGCGTTTTCTGTACAAGCCCAAAACATGAGCAATCAAACTCATTAGGGAAGTACACATCGGTCTTTCAAGCAGAAATACATGCCATCAATTTTTGTGCCCTGGAAAATCTTATAAGAGGTTACACTGGCAAAAAATTCCTCGTAAGCTGTGATGGCCAAGCAGCCATTAGCATGTAAAAGAATCACATCAAAATTATTCAGTGAATGTATCCTAAATCTCCAAAATCTGGGGAAACACAACAACCTGATAATATCTAGGGTGGCAGGGCACAGGAGAATTTTGGGCAATGAGAAAGCAGATAGTCTGGCCAGAGGAGGATCTGCAAGACCATACCTGGCCCCGAACCTATACTTGGGATGACAAAGACAAATATAGAATCCTCCATCGCAGAATGGATCGAAAAAAAACAAATGGAGAAGTAGATAAACTCTAGCGGTGCTAGACATAGTAAACTTATGGTGAAACAACCCTCACCATGACTGGCAAAAGCATTGCTGGAACTGCACCCAACTGAGGGCCAAACTCAGAGGACTACTAACTTACTCATTATAAGACTCAGGTAGGACTACTAACCGGTCACTGCCATGTGAGAAAACATCGACACATCATGGGTGTATACAACGAAAATCCCATTTGCAGATTAAGTAATGAGGAGGAAGAAACAGCCACTCATATCATCTTCGAATTCGAAGCAACAGCTCAATGGAGATTTAACTTAACTACGGAAAAATCTTAGGGAATCAAATTGCAGTAGCGACAGTCAATGACCTGATACTTCTAAGCAGAAGGATTGAGTCTATTGTACTGAACTAAGGAAGGAGGAAGGTACAATAAGCTAGGACGCTGCAATGCCTGAGTAGCGCAAACCCTGCTTCCTAGTATCCTTTTTTACTGTACCATACCCAACAAGTACTTCGCATTGTGGACTTCATCCCTCGATCTCAAGAATACTGTGTGGTCCCTTTCATGATGAGTCATAGACGTTTAACCGCATGTGGCATAACGCCCTCACATAAAAATTAAAGCTCATCTTTCCAAATACCTTCTTCTTAATCGTTCCCTTCTATCTATCTGTACGATTCTTCAGAATCCGACCAGGATTGTGCTACACCGATTATTGTCCTCTGTTAGTGGGAGTGCTTCATTGAGTACATGGACCGATCTTTTTCCCACTATTCCGCAGATATCCCACCTTCACCCTCCACCCTTTTAGCATCCTTTGCCGACAATACAACTGTGTTATCCTCTGATCCCAATCCCACAATTGCTTTTGAGGAGCTACGGGCACGGAGGAATTCCATACTCACGTACCACTCACCCTTCGAAGCGAAACTCTCATACAATATCTCCTCGATAATACTTACCAAAACAGACAGCGACCGCTATCTTGGATTCCAACTAGACTCAAGACTAACCTGGAACACACGACTAAAGCAGTAGCAATTTAACAAGCGTGCCGGACTACTCTTCCCATTACTGAAATGCATATCTAACTTTTCAACAGAACTGAAAAATACAGTACAATAAAAATTAATCTGGACGTACAGATGAGAACTGTGCGGGAAGCTAAACTTTCCAACATACAAAGAGTAGTCTTTCCAAGTCCATTGCTAATGCTCCCAATAGGTCTTAAACATTTACAAATGTTACATAAAATCATTTACAATGACAAAAATCCCAAACTTGCGAAAAATAATTCGCACCACATCCACACATTTTCCACTTTCCACGATAAACTCTCTTCTGGGCCCAATAAAGTTGCTCAATATTCATCAAATATAAATCACCCTTAAATCACCATGGGAGAACTGAAGAGGAGATGACCTCGCTACCTAGTAAACGTGGTGGAGACGTTGCGTATAGTTAGGAGAACAATAATGGTTGTTAATCCCCCTCATGACACGTAATCTATGCCATTTTAAATCTAGTTCTTTACACACTGCAAATAAAGTTACAGATTGTAATCAATATATTTACAAAAAAAATGATTTCTTTTCTTTTGTTTAACAATGCACTCCTAACTTGTTATCCACTCTCCAGGTTAACCTCCCTCTTAACTTTCAAGTAATTAAGGTTTTTAGTTGAGATAAAACAGTCAGTGTCACGAGCTGGGTTCGAACCAACGACTTCGGCTAGATACGCCGCTGCTCTACCACTTGAGCTATAGTGACTACGATCCACTCGGGCACTAACTTCCCATCTCAACCCTACCTTTTCAATTTTCCCTCCTTTTTGCCAGTTTTTTCTCCATTTTTTCCATATATATATAATTTAACGTAGATACCTACATTTTTAACCAATAACGATGAAAAGTGTATAAGTAACGAGAAAATTCGTTGAACATTCCACCCACATTTTTACCCAATAATTTTTCAATACTCATAGCAAGCCTACCTGTATTTCTAAAGATTATTCCGTTTCTAAAGTCAAAGCTTAAAACACTAGCAAAGGCTAAATAATGCTTCCTAAAAGGATCTTTAATGTTTAGTAGAACTGTTGTTATTGCTTTAAGCGTACAGAAAAAAAATAAATGAAAAAAAATACCAACAGATTTTCTTATGTGTAGAGCTTAGTGACCGTTAATCGATAGTTATTCAGATATCGTGAGATGCGGTCGGGTGTGATGTAGGTTTCAGAAAAACATTTTTTTTATTGTGCCACGTTTCGATCTTTATTGAGATCATCTTCAGGGCCTGGGATTTATAAACAATGTTTATATTTAACAAATACGTTTAGGATGTGGAAAAGTGCATTTATACGATGCAAAATATATTTTATATATTCAAACAAAGTATTTCTACTCAGTCAAAGTGTTTTTTCTTCCATGTAATTGTAAGATTTTCTTATGTAACATGATAATTCGCCCGCCCTTGTTTCCTTCGTAGCTCTTGGTAAAACGCCTTAAAAAATAATAAATCTCTTCCTTTAGACATGGCTCTTGTTGTGCTCGCATAAAACAGTTTGGCTCTCAACCCACAGAAGCCGATCAAATTTTACCTGAGCAGTTTATACTGTCACTCCCATATAATCTCCGGCTTTGCCAGCCTTGCTGTGTTCTGTGGAAAATGTAAATTCAGCGATTTACATGCCAATCCTGTTTGTATCACTTCCCTCTTTTCTGTCAAGTTTTCCCCCGAGGAAATACTGTACCATATCGTTCAAACTATTGCATTAACTAACTGCCGTCAATAAACATGAAACGTGAATCTCTGGGTGCGATAATTTTATAGGTGAAATTTGGTTGGGTTCGATTCTCTTTGAAGTTGAACCATATCTCCCATTACCATATGACATTGTTACAGTAAACACTTAGTTACACCGCAATATTAGTGAATAATTTTCCAATAACAATCGTCGCCTCAATAAACCACATTGCCATTGTTGGCTTCAAAGTTTGACAAAATTGTTTCACAACAGTATCGAATTATTTTAATTTTTAATTGCCCATCCGCATTTATATATTTAATAGACTATATTATTTTGGTTTTTGATGGAATNTATAAGATTTATGTAAATACTATTTTAGGAATAAGAATTATGTTTTATTGTGAATTTAAAAAAAATCTTGAAATTTAGTTTTTTCAAAAGTTTTAATTTTTTCTTTTCAAGTTTTCGAGTTGTTTAAGACCATGTATATTCTTCAAATCACATCAACACAAGTAAGTAAAAAATATAAAAATATTATTCGAAGATGAACTATGTGAAGTTAAAGATCTTCGCGCAACAACCAATGAGATGAGGGCCTCCAAGGAAATGCTACCCCAGATCACCAATGACCCACCGGAGAATGCCACATGAGCAATCATACAGCGTTACCTTTCTCTTGAGCGTCTCCATGTGAAATTACCCGATTTGAAGATTTTAGGCCAACTCTCACCTCTTTAATGAGAATTCGTCTCCAATCTTTCAATGTTCTATTCACATGTTTCCTTGCCAATTGTTACCTAGCCATTTTCTGAGATGTGGTAAGAATTGGACCACCGGTCCCCGAAGTTATTTCAATTGGGCCTTCTACTTACGTTCTTGGAGGAAAGAGAAACATTTCGGACTTGTCTTATCAGATTGCATCTCATTTCCCATAATTCTGCGGTTTCGTAGAGCCTCATGACGGATGAGTCGTCTCTCTCGTCCGTAGGCTTTGGTCGACCCTGTTCTGGCTTTTTAGAGTAAAGCCCTGTTTCTCTGAAACGGCGAAGAAAAGCCTCCTTTTTTAGGGTTACTTACACTCAGTCTCCTGGCGACTTTGTACTGGCTGTATTCTTTCTGTGAAAATGTTACGCCCTGACACTGCCATACCGACCAAATGCCTAACTGGAGCCATTGAAAAAGTAAGAATAATATCATAATGATATCATCGAAGGAAAAGATTCTTTAGCAGTAGCAGAATGGAAGAGCATAACGCTATTTTTGTACATATGGGATTAATCTGTAAAAGGAAGTAAACAAAACATTATTTACAGTTTTTTACTACGATATTTCCTAATTACCTACAATGTGTAAGATAATGGATTTAATTTTAAACTAAATGAATTGAGTCTTTCGTTAAATTTGTTCATCAGTTTAAAAATAAAAATGCATGAATGATGTATTTAATGCTTACTAAGCTAGTTTTAGACGGTATCTTATATATTAAAATCTACCGTTAAATATAAAATTGGCCTGCTGAAAATAGAAAAAATAATTCATAATACAAACGGAAGTTAAAACGAAAAGAATTTATGTTTTTTCACCATTTAAAATATCATTTATTATCCCATTCCTTGTTTTTCATGAGAATAATTTTGCCTAATCCTAGGATTATGAGACTACATCGTATTAGACTCCTAAAACATCCTAACGCGTAATTAATTTAAAAAAGAAACAATTTAATTTTTTAAATGGTGGCCTCTCAATTTTAGATTTTAAGTAGATAACACTTTTTTTAAATTGAACTTTCAAGTTGAAGTTTTTTTTTTTAATACGACTGTTGACGGTTGGCTGCACGTGATTCGGTGTGTTAGTGTGTAACATTGAACAAGGCGGTCTTGTCGATGATGTTCATGTTCATAAGTTCACTAGTTTTAGTGGTCCGCTTGACCAATTAATATATTTCAATTAATTAAGGTTTTTAGTTGAGATAAAAAAGTCAGTGTCACGAGCGGGATTCGAACCCAGGAAGGGAAAATTCAAAAGGTGGGATTGAGATGGGAAGTTAGTGTCCGAGTGGATCGAGGTCACGACAGCTCAAGTGGTAGAGCAGCGGCATATTTAGCCGATTATCGTGGGTTCGAATCTCGCTCGTGACACTAACTTTTTTATCTCAAATAAAAACCTTAATTAACTGATTTAATTGATAAGCGTAGTTTTTCAGACTTAAGAATTTTAATATCAGAATAGTTAAAATCGAGAAGGAAATTCAGAATTTTTTGAAAGTTTGTTTTTGTGGAGGTGCCACTTGAAAGCCAAAAAACAGTTTACGTTCACATGTTAACTTAATTTAATTTTTCACTTATGATAATACATCTGATGCATTTTTTAGGCATCCTGGAGACAATCCTTTCTACAGCAACATTGACAGTATGCCCGACATCAGGCCCAGGAGGAAATCCATACCGCTTGTGTCTGAACTCGTAAGTAAAATAATCCCACTTTTGAAATTACACATAATAAAAACAATCAACCTTGCCATGTAAAATGTGTATATTTCATGCCGAGTTACGGATATTATAATGGATGAAAGACATTCCCGGCTTTTATTTTTTTACCCGACTGTTTTTAGCTTGTCCGTTTTGACCCCGATTGGAATTAATATAACTGTGTACTTTTTGATATAAATAGGCTGAGAAAATTTATCACTGTTTAACATTCTAATGATTGTGATGTGCTGAATTTATCTTATTTTGAATGCATTGTAAATCCTTGCATTATGCAACGTCCTTTCTGTGTCTTTTTCGACCCCAGATAGCATTAAGGATGTTTCCCCTCAAAGAAAATAAAAGGATAAAATCCAATCTTGACATACAAAACTTATATATATATGTCAATCAGTTTTAATATAAAAAATGTAAATTATAAGGAGACAAAATCTTTTCATTATTCACCCTGCAGAATGCCTATATTTTATGAGATAATAATCCTGATAATATCCAACGTCCTTTAATATGATATGAACTAATACAATGTTGTTGTTGTTGCTTCCCGACACCTCCAGGTGCTCAAGGTATTTCAAACTTAACACAAACCGAAAGTTTTGATTTGTACATGCTTGTGTCTTCTCATTTTTTTAGACTTTCTAGACTAATAAGCACATGTGCAGAGAAAGAATTTGAAACTAAATCCCATTAAATTTAACTATAATAATTCTTCCTCACATATGAGGAAGAATTAAATTAACTTTAGTAATGTGCATGGTGAAATCTCTGCATTCTTTCATTATTTATTAATTATTATTTTGAGCATTATTTTAAGTTATGTATTCGGTAGTGTTTATGTGATGCATGTGCTTAACCCTTTTGGATAAGCTTGTTTCAAATATTGTAGTCAACCGTCCATAATCTGCAAAACTTTTCCTTGTAAAATATAGTAGCATGTGAAAAACCAAATCAAGGTTTTATTCTTGGCATATAAACATTTTTTGTAATAAATATATTGGTAAAGTTAGTATCATATGTATATTAAAATATTATTTCGATTTTAATTACTTTTAATTAATAAAATGCAATCAAAAGTATTAGTTCCTTTTGTTTGGGATTTTCATAGTTAATGTTTTGTTGGCTTTAAAAAAACAGTAGGCTGTAGTTATTCCTATTAATTTTCAAATTATAGCAATGGCAAAAGTAATGACCATTAATTGTATTCTTTTCTGTTCATTAAGATAACATTTTAATTTTATTACGACTTTAGGCTATGTACGTGGGGCCACCAATTTTAATTATACTTTTTTTGGTTATAATAGATTGAATATTGGCCACATAACTATGTGTTCATATTAATTGAATCATTCGTGGTCATTAGAAATCATTAGATTTGTTGTGCTTTTGCCCAGGATAAGAAAATAATAAATATAATGGTAGGTATTAAACGAGATTTTTATATACAAAAATTTCCAGAAAGCAAAAGGAGATTCTATAAAGTAGACGAATAAAATTCGTTTACATAAAAATATTCACATTCGTAAGCACACTTAGCAATCTTTAATACGAATTTTTGTACCATACAAAAAATATCGCATTTTTTCTCTCCTCCGATATCCTCTTTGTCACATAAAAATTTATAAACCATCTGAGTGCTATCTAATGTACTCGACATTACAACCTGTATTTGTCTTGTTTGAGTTTATTATCAGCACCTTTTGTTGTTCTTATAAAAGGGAAAAATAAGGATGAAATTCGCAAAAAGTTGCTAAACGTGATTTGTAGAGTTTCAAATCTCCTATAGGTTGGCGAAATTGTTTCAAAGTCATTATCATCAGTACTACATTACAATTTACATGGTTAATTTTCATATGATATTATGATCCAAAGGAAACTTAATTAATTTAGAAGCTTGTAAGATTAAAATGTATCGCCCTCATTACGACGCAAAGCAACTAATATTGGTTTAGTGTGCCTTGTCCATTATTATCTTAAGCTCTTCATTAAGGATAAGGCTTTTTACCAGATCCCAAAATTTTTGTAAGGGCTCCCAAGTTTCCTCTTCCAAGAGAAGGGATTTTAGTCTTCGCATCAATGTATTACATCCGCGGTTTATTCTTCCTGGGAATATCTTCATACGTTTGGTTCTACTGATTTGAGCCTGAACATATGTTTCGGGTTTCAGCTATACCACTATCATTTTAGCCTTAGCAGAGTCACAGGAGGGCCAGTGCACCAGATCCTGTCTGCATAGACGGGGTAGGGTGTATGGCCATCTGTACCACGGGGTAACTTAAATGTTCCAAAATCAGCCCAAAGTTACACTGGGAATGGTTTCCTGGTGGTGCGTGACGGGAACTTAGGCAAAAGCTGTTCTGGCTGATGCTTGTGTATGGCCATCGTTATACACCCGGCCTCACGGGATACGGCGGACCGGACGACAGCGTATAGGCGTTGAGGACGCGATGATTATGCGGAATAGTCCCTCGAATGCGTGAGTAGGCGGACGGAAACGGTTAGTGAATCGGTTTCTCCGACTCGAGTATGCTTGCATTGTTGTGCGTATGACCGGCGTGGTACCCTTGGGGAAGGGAAGGATCGGACCACCTAGGCTGAGCCTATGGCGTCCCTTGAATGCGCATAGCAGGTGTAGGCTGAGCTCGAAAGGAGATCTTTACCGTAGGCGGTGCTCATCTAAGATAGCAATTCCACTTAAACCAAAACCGCGGCCGGGGCGGATCTGGTAGTTTCTGTGCTAGGGAAGCCCCTATACTCAAAGATATAGAGTGGCCTTCTCTATCTAGGGAGTGCGCGGGAGAACAGGCTGATGTATTTAGGATTGTTGTCGCGGCATACGACCCGATGCACAACGCGGGCCCGACCATTCGGAGCGGACAAACGGAGAGCGAGGTTGTCTTGGCCCTTAGGGGCTGGGGCGTCTCTACACCAATGCTGCGGCGGTATCACTCTTCCGTCGTATGCGGAGGTGCTCATCTTGAGAATCAAACGTGTGATAAGGCCGAATAGGCCAGTTGCGGACTTTAAAGATCCTCTAGTCTTGTGATGACGAGTACTCGGGAACAGTCATTTTAGTACTAGTAGTTATGCCGTTTCTTCCTGAAATGACCTTGTTTTTGTGTTTCTGTGCTGGAATAATTTCACATTGAACGGAGGAGTTATTCTTTATTAATGATAATGTATTTGTATATTCAGGGTGTGATAGATGTCCTCATCTAGTCAATTTATCTTCTTGTTTTCCTCATGAATGCATAAGATCCAAAGAAATGTAATTTTGCTGTTTTCCCTTACGTCGGATAAAGTAATCGTATGATGTCACCATCGATGTCATCCATCTCTCCCAGTCTGTTCTATACTCTTAATTTGAAATTGTATCCAATCTGAGTTTTGGGATCATGAGATCAACAGGCATCTTCAGAATTTATTCTGTCTCAAGTTCCTCCCGAATATTTAATTCATCATTTTTACGCCAACCTGTGGGAAGAAAATTAGGGCTCTCCCCCTGGATGAGCCTATATTAAAAAAAAGACGATATTTTGTTTGCTAAAAAAATTCGTATTTAAAGGTTTTAACGGTTAGTTAAAATGAATCGGATAGACTAATTTTTATGGCTAGTTTTACCAAAAAAGGCTTAAATGAAATTGTTAATCCCACGTCCATTGCCTCCTTTCATAAGTAATAAAATTAAATATTGCTATCATAGTTTAATTATGGATGAGTAAATGCTCAGAAAATTTTTTTTTGTAGTCTTTGTAATATATATAAGCACAAGTTTATTTCAGCTTATTTTTTTTCTTATTTATTTTTAAATAAATTAACATGCTAGAAGGAAAACTAAGATGAATTTGAAGCTGGCCACTTAAAGATCAAATACAGAAAACATCTATTATTAATAATAAAAAAAATATACATTTTATGATTGCCATCAAGGTGGTTGATCTTACAGGTAGATAAGTGGAAGCAACAAGTCTTGATTTTCAGTGCGTTTAATCAATAAATCATCTTAGCTCAAAATCATTTGTTTTTAAAGTATCAATTATATATTGGTAATTGATCAATTATATATATTTTTGGTTCACCCTTTTTTCCTAGGAGAAAAATTGAACTCATTATTTTTTGTGTGCATAGCCATTAAACTTCAGCACTTTTGGTATTGCTTTTTTAATTGTTAATTAAAAATGCTATAGATCAAGCATGATTTACTAATCTATTTTTGTTTTAGTTTTTGTATTGTTATAAAAATGATGATAATGATTATTATTTATATAATTTTTATTCTTATTACACTGAGTTAACTAAGAAAATAGTGAGCTGTATAGAAGTTCAAAGTTAAATTTAGATCACACAATTACGCATGGATAGAATCTTCAAAATATACTAGAAATTACTAAAAAGAAATTAAAAAATGGTTTACAGACAATGGCGGCAAAACGAAACGCCGGGCTGACATCGGCAGTGCCTAGGGCTACGCTGAATGATGAAGAACTGGTAAAACGAGGTCGGGTAGAAACATAATGTTCCTGGATAACTATTTGCAATTTTTTTCACCAGAAAATGCACGTCTACAAGAAGACCCTGCAGGCGCTGATCTATCCGATTTCCAGCACGACACCGCACAACTTTATGCTTTGGTCGGCTACATCGCCCACGTACTGTTACGAATGCGAAGGTTTACTCTGGGGCATCGCAAGACAGGGTGTCCGCTGTACAGAATGCGGCGTGAAATGTCACGAAAAGTGTAAAGATCTCCTGAATGCCGACTGCCTACAAAGTAAGTACAGATTTCCACAATAAAAACAAACTTGGGTAATACGGATTTTCAAATAATATACATTTGTTTGAGTTTTGCACTAACATGTATATTAAGCATGGTTCCGTTTTATCATCTTACATTAAAAAAATTAAAAGTTTATGCCTTAATATTATAATTGTACATAGAAAAGTCGGGGAAAAGGCGAGTTTCAAAGAAAGAAAAAACACAGTTTCTTATACCCTTTTTGGGAGGACTTTGAATTTATTTCTTATTGTAGATAATCATTAGAAATATTATCGAAGTCCTGATGAAAGAGATATATTCTTTGAATGACGGAAGAAAGAAATAAGTATTTTTCTTCCTTTCAAATTTACCTTATCACAGATTGTGATATATAACCAGTTATCTAATTCATTTTTCTTTTCTTATTTTTTCTTATGTAAATAAATTATATGTTAATAATTAATCAATCTGAACTGTTCACAAATTGAAATAAACCACTCATTTAACTGTTCTTCGTTTGTAATTTTTAAAAACAATAAAATAACGTTCTTATTACATTCAATTAATTAAGGTTTTAAGTTGAGATAAAAAACTCAGTGTCACGAGCGGGATACGAACCCACGACCTTCGCTTGATACGCCGNGGGGAGGAAATACAAAAGGTGGGGTTGAGATGGGAAGTTAGTGCCCGAGTGGATCGAAGTCACGATAGCTCAAGTGGTAGAGTACCGGCGTATCAAGCCGAAGGTCGTGGGTTCGAATCCCGCTGGTTTTTTTTCACTTATCGTATCTATCTTACATTGGATTTAAATAAAGGCGTATTAGATTTTGATCACTGTTGTTATGTTGTTAAACCAAAAAGATGGATACATAATTTGTCTGGATTGTGGATATCTCTGGTCATCTTGGTCAGCATATTCTCAGTCTTTTTTTTCGCTACGTTGTGTAACTTTAAGATTATCTATATTTTCAATTTTTTCACTTTATTACTTTCAGTAGAACCCACATAGAACGAAAATCATAAAAAGCCCTTAACTATCGATTTTTAAAGTAAGTCCAAACCTTCTTTTATGGTAAATGAATAACAATTTTTGGTTCATAAGTTAAACATAACATAACATTAAAGTAAATTAATTAATTCAGCAATATATTGTATAAATTGTTTTATTAAACTATCCGGTGCCCGCTTTCATGTAAATTTGTAGTTCCGTCGTCAATATTTCTTTTAATGTCTATACTTCTTTAGGATGGAACCTCATCAGAGATTGTTTTTCACAATAGTTCCGTCTTCCATGAATATCTCAGCTTTTTGTGGGTTTTCCGCAGTCCAAGCTAATTGAAGCTTTTACAATCAATTTAATATTTCAAGGCTTAATATAAGTTAAATTCTGAAGAAGAAATGACCGGTAAATACGGGGTGTGTGGTAGCATATTCCAGCCAAGCACTTGGTAGAAAACAATCCGTTTCAATTAGTCAGTGGCTGTTTTTGGCCAAATGTTGATTTTAATCGCTCTAAATAAATGGAGAATCCATAAACATTAACTGTTTGTTCAAGAGAAAAAGCTCATAATTAACTAACCCCATCCAATCCCACCGAATGCACAATGCGATGAATCCAGGTTTTGAAATTGTTAACTATTGGTCGTCACTTTTTGCTGAGCATCCTTCTATCTGAGTATTACGTTTTTTTTAAAATTGATAGTTTATATTGCGTTGTTGGAGGGTATTGCAAATGGATTTAAACATTTCAATCCATTCTTTTTATTGGGTGTGTGTGGTGTTCAGTGACCATTAGTTGTATTAGAATTACGAGATCTCCTAGGATAGATCAGGGGAAGTCACTCACCTTGGTGCCAGAGGGACTCCAAGGTTGGGCTCTGATCGGGCCCCATTGACTTCTTTGGCTATTTGGCTACGTTCCCTAAAACTAGTCATTCTCACACTCAATCATACAATAAGTACATATCCTATATACAAACCCAATCACACATGCATATCCTCTGTCTAGAATCCGGGTCGGAGGTTACTCGATATTGCGCCCCGACCCGGCTTGGCGAAGCAGCGGGAGAGCCTTGAAATGATATGCTGCACCGCCGCCCAGCATACTCCTATTCTAACATACACTTAAACTAAACTTTAACCTTTGAATTAAATAACCCACTATATACCCATTATCCCAATATCTCCCAAAAACCTAAAAAGTTTTTCTTTAAACTCGCTACCATGTTCGAGCATTCTCCTACAGTCCGGCGGTATTCCATTTCGGTCCCTATACGGGGCCAAGCTGTGACACACTTCCAACACGTGCGACACTGTGAGTCTATTATCTTGGCATCCTGGGCACCTAGGTCGATTCGCGCCAACCAACAGGTACCCATGAGTCGCACGTGTGGCCGTTAGTTAATGACTATTTGGAGATCGCAAGAAACGGTCTGGTGTGACGTAGGTTTTAGAAAAACATTTTCTTCATCGTGCCAACGTTTCGACCTTTATTGAGATCATATTCAGGGCTCAAAGTGTAAATGTGACATTCTTCTGTGTTGTGTTGGGAGTGCTCAAATGTCATTGGGGGGCATACACCGCATCTCACGATCTACAAATAGTCTTTCTATTACTCAACAGTCTCAAAAAAACCCGAAACAATTCTTATTCACATTTTTTTGTTAAACATTAATTCCTTTAAATTTGAAAGAAATTTGCACCAAGCTGAATCGCGCCTAATCCAGAGCGTCCTGTTAACCGAGGTCATTTGAGGAAATTGATCCGAAATTTTCTTTCTGTATCATAGGTTGAAAAGATGAAGATTTTGTTTTTCCGAGGAACAATATTCAGAAATAATTTATTGCGCCCAATTTTAAAAAGCCTGCTCTAATTTAAAAACGCTTTGCCTCATTGAATTTTGGGTCAAAAACCTTCTACAACTGTACATTGATGCATACCGTGACGATTTTAAAATTTAAGTGTTTATTCGTTTCCCGCTATGCTGGAAAGTTAGATCGATACTTTTTGACAAATAAGAAGCTACATTAAAAAAAAAGTATGTGGCTTGGAGATTCTTCTCGAAAACGCCCAAATATGCGGGAATAAAGAAGTTAACTTCACCCTGTCGAAAACGTTATGTATTGAAGATACTCGATGATTACAATACAATCTCTTAATACAATAATCTTGAGTTATAAACAATTACCCCATCCGATCACACCAAATGGAAATATTATTTCCTTGGGATGTAATTTTGTAGTTGTTAGATGTGGGTCGTTGCGTTTTTCTAAGATTTTTTTTACCTGAACATTGTCGTAAACAACCCTCATTTCATACCCAGTTATCAATTTTTTAATAATGGGTTTTTTATATTGCATTTCGCGAAAGAATCGCAAACGGATTGCAGTATTTCAATCATTTTTTTTTAATTCACTAATTTCGTGGTCCGCTTGACCAATTAATATATTACATGTTACATTACGGCGTATCTAGCCGAAGATCGTGGGTTCGAATCCCTCTCGTGACATTGACTTTTTTATCTCAACTAAAAACCTTAATTAATAGTAATTTTTTTTAATACTTAAACGTCAAAAAATGTATCTAAATTTTTTTTGTTAAACATTCATTCCTATAAATTTGTATTTAGGAATCGAAATTTGCACAGGCTGAATCTCGCTTTAATGAGCTTCATTTAAAGGGTCATATTAAATGATGTAATTGAGGAAATTGAGTTGAAATTTTCTGTCTGCTCCACGCGCAAGTAATTTACTACCAATTAAAATGATAAATAAATAAATTTATCATTGGTTAAAGTTGGGTAAGTTTTTCTTTTCTTAAAAACTGCGGTTGGTGAATATTTTTTACAAATAAATTGAAACCATAAAAAAATGTATGTTATGCTTTGCTACTGGAAATGGTAACGTTCCTATCCGTATCATATGATCTTTGCGAGTTACATCAAAACTTTTGAACTTTTGCTTCATGAGAAACTAGATAAAAATAAAAGTTTACGGGTCTTTCGATTTTTCTTAAAACCGTCCGAATAATAAATATATATACACATTCCGGTCAAATCAGTTATTTTGACTTGTACAAATTTTGCAAATATATTTTTTAAAAAAATTGATTGTATCAAGAGAAACCGAGGATAAATTTATACTAGAACACGGTTTTGTCATATTTCGGTCTCAATCATGGAACATGAGGCAATGTGCAGAAATTAAGTGACTGGCAATACCCAGTTCTCCCCTATTTCCTGTTTGTCTAATTGGTGGAAACAAAACGCTTCAAAAAATTGTTTCTTTAACCCAAACCAAAAATAACTATGGTCAACATATTCAATATGTAGAGGCTTCTACAAAGAAAAACACTTGAATTTGGAGTATAAATGTAAATATAAATAAATAACCAAATTTATATATTAACTATTGTATTCACTAGTTTTCGTGGTCCGCTTGGCCAATTAATATCTTTCAATTAATTAAGGTTTTTAGTTGAGTCAAAAAAGTCGATGTAACGAACGGGATTCTAATTCAATTCGGAAAATTCAAAAGGTGGGGTTGAGATGGGAAGTTAGTGTCCGCGTGGATCAAGGTCACGATAGCTCAAGTGGTAGAGCACCAGCGTATCAGCCGAAGATAGGTTCGAATCCCGTTCGTGACACTGACTTTTTTATCTCAACTAAAAGCCTTAATTAATTGAAAGATATTAACCATTGTATTAAACATAAAAAAACCGCTATAATCAAATTTATGTTAGTCATCAAAATCATTGGAAATAGTGTCAGGATGTTTGATCTGTTATTAGATTTTATTAAGTTCTCTCATATAATTGAGAACATACAAATAGAATTCGAACGGTTATTGTTGGTGAAAGTAAAGCACAAATCAATTTGTGAACGGTTTATTTCCATACTCTAAATTTTTTTATGCCATCTTCAATTGATTTTTCTTTTTATTATTTTATCTAACATTTTTGTTGGTTGTTTTGGAAAATTTCATTATTTGTAAAAATTCATTTATTGTTGAAAACTCAGGGCAGCGGGAATAAAAATATTTAAGTCAGAGGTTTTGTGGCGCATTTTGTCCTTAAGTGTATAGTGCATATGTGAAAAAAGCTATTTCGTATAAACACTGTTGCAAAACTATCATAAAGAATGTGCCAGAAGCCCAAAAAATCTTTCCCAAATGGACGTTCACGTTAAATTACTATAAGGCAAAACCCTAAAGCGCACAATCTCATTTCGTTTTCCGGGCGTTTTACTTATTTAGATATATATTATCATTCATAGTTCTGAGAATGCCTGGATTACTGAAATACAACCCAAAAAAGCTAATCTGGGGTAAGTCTGGTCATTTTTCTTTAAAACCCACCCTTAGAATCAAACCCACCCCTGCAAAAGCTCAAATTTTGATTTTGAAAAGATCTTCATTAGGACCTGATTGATTTTAGCTAGATAAGCATACCACGCTTTTGTAAATAAAATTAGAATTTTACAGTTTTTTAATAAATAATCCTTATACGATCAATCTTTCAATTAGATTCACCTTTTCACTATAGATTTTTCACTCACATGTGTATATCGATTACTATAATAATCGTGCATATTTATAATTGTATATCGCAGTTTTAATTGTTATGTAGACTCGATAACTCACAATATATATTGTATATTGTGTATGCACAATATTTTGTTGTAAATAATGGGAAGTTTGGAAATTAAAATTGTATAAATTGGTTGAATAATAAATGACAATAGGAAGAAAACGCAGACGTTAGATGAATTATTAAAATATGAACATTTCATTTTAGGGGCTGCTGAGAAGAGCTCTAAACACGGAGCAGAAGATAAAGCAAACACAATTATAACAGCGATGAAGGAAAGAATGAAGCAGAGAGAAAGAGAAAAGCCTGAAATATTCGAGCTTATAAGGTAATGTAATTTTTCAAAAATCTTTAATTAGAATTCATTTAATGTATTCTTAATGAAATTTGTAAAAATAACGACTAATAATTATGAAAAAATCAAAACGCACATAAGTGATGTCACGTAATTTCGATTTTGAACTTATTAAATGATTTATTGATTTGAAAAAAAAAACCATGAGAGAAAATGGATTTGCTAATAATTTATGAATAGAGGTAGAAGAAGAAAGTTGATCTGTTTGACAGGACTGTATTCGGACCAGATCAGAAGAGCCACATAGGTCACATGAAAGCCGTCAAGCAGTCAGTACTGGCAGGAACAAGCAAATGGTCGGCCAAAATTGCCATAACAGGTTTGTTTATTAAACGAGGACGGTGGAACGGTCTAAGAGGCCTATGACTGTTTGTTGTATAGATGTTTTTTGTTTTGTTTTACAACTCGAAGCACAATTTTCCCATGCGTCAATCACAATGGGAAAGTGTGTCTTGAACAGTTGTTTTATGTGTGACATCGCCTGTGTGTTAGCCCGTGTAGCTTGAGAAAATGATATTTGACTAGCAAAGGCAATTTCCTTTTATGTATTACTATTTTTATTGTTTGTCCTCCTCCTCTTTTTCTTTAAATATAGATTTTTTTCCATTTTCCAAATTGTACAAAAGACGATCAGTGGATACTTATGGTATTAGCAATTTGAATGTTATTTAAACCAAGCAGTTAATAAATTGTCGATGCTAAGTGAAAGTATTGTTTTCTTGACTTGACTCCCACTTTTAAATCAAAGGGGAATTAATATTAACATTGGAAAAGGAAGGGGCAAAATAAATTTGCAATTTTTATTGTAGTTTTTGTGTTGTGTTGTTTTAAAACAGAACAACCTTCTCGATGGACCCGGACACTCACATTGACTCGCTAGCTCAAGCAGAAGATATTGTCCTAGAAGGGACGTCAAAGTGGTCTTGCAAGATTGCCATAACAGGTCAGGCCATTATGCCTGCTCCTTTTGTAATACAATAAAACTAACACTTAAACGCAAAGCACTCAGTAAAGCAACATTCATATTATCTCAAAATTGTTATTGCAATACTATATCATGGCGATCAATTTACTTATACTGTGTCATTGCACAATTTGATGTATTAATCGAGTTTTCAATAATTATACAGAAAAACAAATTTGTATTAGAAATACTGAAACCCACTATCCATTTTAGTTTAAAAATAAAATCACAACTTTGATTTGAAACAGGATGAACGTAAACTTTAGTTCATGGAATCAACATCACGGTTACACTTCAGAAAAAGGGTTAGACTAAATTAGATTTTACCAAATAGTTATTTATGCTCGTAAATCATGAAATATATGACAGATTTAAATATCCAATTCAACTCATTCATTAGTTTTCGTGGTCCGGTTGACCAATTAATATCTTAAAAATGGCAAAAAGGAGGGAAAATTCAAAAGGTGGGGTTGAGATGGGAAGTTAGTGTCTGAGTGGATTAAGGTCACGATAGCTCAAGTGGTAGAGTAGTGGCGTATTTACCCGAAGGTCGTTGATTAGAATCCCGCTCGTGACACTGACATTTTTATCTCAACTAAAAACCGTACTTACATGAAAGATATTAATTGGTCAAACGGACCACGAAATCTAGTGAATGTATGAACAAAATTCAAGATATTTACATAACAATTATAAACTGTCTAATGAATACAGGACAAAGTTTAAAATAAAAAGGCACTCAATAATGTACGTCTGTACTAAGAGAGCAAGATAGGTAAAATAAAAATATTTTTGATAACTAGTTAAATCAAAACGTAAATGATTGGTTGTTTTCGGGGTTTTTCAACTAAACGTTGTTTTTTATTTTATTATCCATTACATCTTTGCAATTTTGTTAGAACCAGAAAGAGCATATTTTATCGATTTACAAGTGTTAGTGGCAAACTAAATCAAAAACGTGTTAACAAGTAATTAATCAGATTAAATATGTACTTAAATAAAAAAACCTAGCATCAGTAAAATCACAATTAAATATTGTTAATTTCAATCATTTGAAAGACTGTGGACAGAAATTGCTACTGAAATGAGATTTGGAAAAAATCACAATTCATTTAAAGTAATAATTGACATTTATTGTCAGAAACTTGTATAATTTTAATCATTAACATGAAACTATCAATATTTTTGTAACTCTACCTTATGGAACTTCTTGTTGTTCGAACAAAATTTAGTTTAAAAGGAATATATAATGAATACAAATGAGGATCATAAAAATGGCATTAATCCCCAAAAAAATTGTGCAATAGCATAGTCGCATTTTAACCATATTGTAGAAATTATAAACACAATATAACAATCAGTATTTATACATTTAACATATTCAGTAGACTGTAGATTAAACTAAATTCAATAGAAAAGAAAAATATAGATAGATGCAAACCATGTAGATAAGCTTGATTAATATAGTGTTGTGATTCAAAAATTTTTTTTCTGGGAGCTGTAGAATTCAAAATGGGCATATATTTTTGTTACATTACAAAGCCATAAACGTGCATGGGAGATTTATTTATTAAATGAGTTAACCACTGAACAGTCTAACAAAGACAAAACAAGTATTCAATTATATTCAATTTAAAATTTACATAATTTGCCATATATATTAAAAAGTCCTCATGATACAGAACTTTAAATTTATGAATTTATGTTAGTTTCCAATTGCACTAGGAATGCATGCAACCGTTTTTATTGTCTTAATGCAGCTATTGCTTAATTTATGTTTATTGAACACACACATATTCTTTCCGCATGTTGATCAATACTCACAGCCAAATATTTAGACTTTTTTGTAGAATTATTATCATTTGAAATTGTTTGTTGTTTATTTAAAATTATTAGTTTATAAAATACACAATTAACAATATTAATCAAAGAATTACAAATTATTTTATCCAGAAAAAGCTTGTTGTTGTGTGTAGTACTTCATTATTTCTTTGAATTATGGAGAACTTAGCTTTCATATCAGCTTTAAATGTGTTTAGTTTTAATTTGAAAACAATTTAGTATGCATGTAAATAAATTAAATAATAGTGATACTTTCAATAATTGAGAATTATCTTATATTAATTGAATATTCATCAAGTAATTATTGTCTTTCTGTTATGTATTTTATATTATTGGATATACGTACAAATCAAATCAAGCTTTACCGATATTCCATATGGGCTAATAATAATTTTTAGTGTGTAAAATCATGGTTGAACATTCGTTTCTTAATTATCTCAAAACGTCGAAGAAAATTGTCTTACTCCAACATCTAGACAACATCTTTCCAGGAAAGTGTCACCCAGACAAGTTCAACAAATAAACGTTGATACATATTTTCCACAAATACTGTACAACCATAAATCTCGTTTTTTATGTTTATAGTATTTTATTTGTACAGTTTTTATTATTTGTCCCATAAGAGGCATTGTGAATAATAAAAAAAAAAAAACACACATCGCCATTTACCAAAAAAACAAAACATCAACAATTTGTTGGTTTATTGTTCCTTTCAGTTGGTTATTAACTTTTGTTTTCTCTGGGTTGCAATTTTTCGGTATTTTCTTCACTCTGTTAATTTTGCGTGTGTCAACAATATGGCGAGGCAGTGATATTCATTACTCTACAAGAAAAACGACATCATTGTTTATTTCAAAATATATTAAAACGTACAGGGAGTCTTGGAAACTCTGAAGGATACAAAATTTAACATATCCCAGAATCAACAATCCCATTTTTATCCACCAATTTAAGATCGAGGGGATTTTCCCCTTTACCAATTATAATTTTTCCATCTTGCGCGTCCGATCTCTGCAAATATATTTCCTAAAGGATTTTGTTTCTTTAATAAAGTACAGAATTTTTCTCAGGGAGTTCCATAATATATTTTTGACATTGATTATCTTTTAATATTTTTTAAATAGTATTCTACTGTATCGCCCCTTGCAAATAGAGCTGATCGAGTTTTTACTTCTATTTTGTTAATTTATTAACAATACACGCTGAGAATAGTAATAATACTGAAAACAAGGTAAACACAAAATATAAATAAAATATAGCTTATACATAAATCAAAAAGACACACAAATATATGTGGATATAAAATAATATAATTATGACTTGGCACAATTTCGAAGTGGAATTAAAAATTTTTTTTTTGTTGCTTATCAATGAAAAAATCTCAGCCAATGTAGTCAGCTTATCTCTGAACTCTGTTTGCTGGAGAATAAAATTGTGTGTCAAGAATTGTTCCTACTACAGGCAAGTTGGCGGCTACTGAAATTGTACTCGAAATGACTTATGAATTTTATTGATTCCAAGCAACAAAAATAAAACTTAAGCACACAATTTGCTAAATAAAATGATTTCGACACAGAGCACACGACAAACGTCTATCCTTTTTAACGACCAAATCTCCACTCAACTCGTTCTACCCACCTGCNCGTATACATATACATATACTAAAATAGCATGTGTACTGGACATTGGCTCGACAAAGGAGAAGCAGCACCACATTTTCAAAAATTCATTAAATTCATGAAAAAAGATTATAGTGACTTTTTGGCTGTCTTCATTTGGGCAGATTTACTACAGTTTGTTAAATCTTCGCGCAACAATGAAATTGAAGCAACAGAAATTGGCATTATTGAATCCACCATCGGTCAATCGGAAAAGGCCTAATCAGTTATATGACCACGCTCGGCCCCATGTCTCACATACAGACTGTTGGATTTTGGTTATGAGGATATGCCTCACTCTCCCTAATTTTTAGACCTCTCTCCTACCGACTACTATATGCTCAAACACCGGTCTTAAACATGAAAAATTTATCATTTTTAAAAAGATAGTTCCTACTCACAGTAAGTTGTTTTGCAACGATCCGGATTTCGAGCCTTTTAGCTCATCATCAGGTTGAAGGACTTCTACAACCACTTCTCTCGACACGAATTGCCAAAGTGAGCCCGCTGATCCCTCCCCCAACGCGACGTTCCAATTAGCAGCTGATTTTTTAATGGCTCTCAATTTGAACGTGCGAAACGCGGAAATTATAACACAAATAAATATTATACTAGTAAATACTTAATATTATTCAATTACTACAAAAATAATAACAATTAAACTAATAAGTTTAATTATTTGGATGTTTGATATTATGTTCATATTTAAAATGGGAGGTAGATCAAATGTACATTATTTTAAATTTATTTGAAATATGTACATAAATAATATCAAACATCCAAATAATTAAACTAATTATTTTGATAATTATTATTTTATAGTAATTTAATAATATTAAGTATTTACTTATATTTGGCAATTCGTGTCGAGAGAAGTGGTTGTAGAAGTCCTTCAACCTGATGATGAGCTAAAAGGCTCGAAATCCGGATCGTTGCAAAACAACTTACTGTGAGTAGGAACTACCTTTTTAAAAAGGATTGAACAACACACTCACTCCATCATTTATCATTTCTATGAAAAATTTATTGATCAAAAGTCGTTAAAAAATGCGTTTACGGAATTTTTTAATAATTAAATCTCAAACTTATTGTTTTTCATTTACTTAAGAACTTACCTTTCTAAAGGGTTAGAGAAGTTGCATAAAGTTGGGAGAAGTGTATTAAGAGTGATGGTGGAGAGTATTTTAATTAATAAGAAATGGTTAAAATAATGTATTTAATTTTTTTTTATAACCAAATACCTGCATTATTTTCAGAACAACCCAATAGTATGTCTACCCATAGACAACGGTTTTATTATAACCAAGGAGCATAATTCCATTTTCTGTCATTAAAAATGTTATCCCTTGGTTTTGGAAGATATCATTCTTAGAGTAAACTGTAGAAGAGGTCTGAGATAGTCAAAACTTTAATCAAGAAGGCTTTTACTACACATATCGTGGACTATAAAAAAATGAACAAAATTCCTATTTATGATTGTAAAAGAGAAGTCTTTTAAAAAAGCCCATTTGTAAGTATGTCGGGTTCGAATGCAGGGACGCTGGATTCGAACGCAGGATCTTTATCTTACAGTAATGAGCGCCGTATCAACGCCTAAACCGTTTCGGCCACCGACGCCCCCCAAAGAGAGGTCTTTTAAATGCCGTGAAAAAGGCTGGAGAAAACCTGGAGAATAGTCACTGATGTATGTAAAAACAGTAACACATGGAGGAGTTTATGTCATGTACTGTAAAAATCTAAACCCTTGAAAGGGTTAAAATATTTAGAGATCATCCTAGCGGATCATTAGTGGCTTTTATGCCTTTTGTAGGCTCTCAATTATGATACATCACATAAGACAGGTGTTATGGAATACCTGAACACCACAGCTATCCAAATCCTTGCAGGGAATCTATGAAAAACGTTTTCTTTCCATATTTTTTTAATATAGTAATTCAATCATTGAAAGTATCACAATGTAACTTTGATGATATTTATATTCAAATTATTTTTAATTTTCTATTCCAAATGATTTAAATGTTATTTATCTTTAAATTTTTAGTCATTTGCGCTCAGGGTTTGATTGCAAAGGACAAGAGTGGCACTTCAGACCCTTATGTCACTGTCCAAGTGGGTAAAGTCAAGCGAAGAACACGAACCATGCCTCAGGAACTAAATCCAGTCTGGAATGAAAAGTTTTACTTGTAAGTGAGACTGACTATAAGAGATAAATTATACCAAATATACATTCAATTTATTAATTTAAACGCACATTAAATTCATTTTTCAGTGAATGCCACAACTCGTCTGATCGGATCAAAGTCAGAGTTTGGGATGAAGATAATGATCTAAAATCTAAGCTCAGGCAAAAGTTAACTAGGGAGTCGGATGATTTTCTCGGTCAGACAATCATTGAGGTTGGTATCTGTCTCTAATAGTTGATTCTGTTCAATAATTTTAAATTTCTAATCTAACAGGTAAGGACTTTGTCCGGGGAGATGGAAGTTTGGTACAACCTGGAAAAGAGGACTGACAAATCGGCTGTATCTGGTGCAATCAGGCTTCACATAAGTGTGGAAATTAAGGGGGAAGAAAAAGTAATTTTATAATGGGTCAGAAACGTTTTTCAGAAGTTTCATGTAATTGTTGATTCCAGGTGGCTCCATACCATGTTCAATACACGTGCCTTCATGAAAATCTATTCCATTCGCTGTGCGAAGAAAATAATGGTCTGGTGATTCTTCCTTCTGTGAAGGGAGATGATGCCTGGAAAACATACTTTGAGCCTCCAGGGCAAGAGATAGTTGAGGAGTTTGCTATGAGATACGGAATAGAGAGCATTTATCAAGCAATGACGTATGCTTTAATTTATTTTAATTATAAAAAGTTTATTTTCATTGAATAAATTTATTTTGAATGCAGACATTTCCATTGCCTCTCGACAAAATACCTCTGTCCTGGTGTGCCTGCAGTCATGAGTACTCTCCTAGCTAACATCAATGCCTACTACGCGCACACAACCGCTACTTCTGCTGTTTCAGCAAGCGACAGGTTCGCCGCATCAAATTTTGGGGTACGACTGCTTACTAGAAGCACAAGTAACAACGATATAATATTATTTTAATTTTGTAGAAAGAAAAATTTGTGAAGTTGTTGGATCAGCTGCACAACTCTTTGAGAATAGATTTATCGATGTACAGGAATAACTTCCCGGCTTCCAGCAAAGAGAAACTGATGGATTTGAAATCCACTGTGGACCTTCTCACCAGTATCACATTCTTCCGAATGAAAGTAAGATATTTTTTTGTGTGGTGATTAGTGAAGGTTAGTTGATGATTATTCGGAAATCGTGAGATGCGGTCTGGTGTGATGTAGGTTTCAGGAAAACGTTTTCTTTATCGTGCCAACGTTTCGATCTTCATTGAGATCATCTTCAGGGCCTGGAATTTACAAACATTGTTTAAATTTAACATATTCATATAGTATGTGGAAAAAAGTGAATTTATAGAATGCAAATTTTTTTTATATTCAATCAAAGTATTTCTACTCACTAAAAGTGTTTGTTTTATGCGTATTTATGCCATTCAACACGACACGCACGAATGGCTCAACTACGCAGAAAACAAACACTTTGAGTGAGTAGAAATACTTCGATTGAACATTAAAAAAAATGCATTGTATAAATTCACTTTTTTCCACGTACTACATGTATTTGTTAAATTTAAACAATGTTTGTAAATTCCAGGCCCTGAAGATGATCTCAATAAAGATGGAAACGTTGGCAAGGTAAAGAAAATGTGTTTCTGAAACCTACATCACACAATGACTGCATCTCACGAAATCCGAGTAAGATATTTTTTTCGATTAAAAAACAAAATACTGCAATTTGAAATTTTTCTATGTGGGTCAGTAGGGCGATGAACCTGTAGTTTGATCACTTGGTATGACTCATTGCTGGATATATATACGAAATTGCAAAAAACAATGTTTATTGATAAGGTTGGATATCTGATGATTTCCGAAATGAAAATACTCTAGAATGAAAACTAGTAAGAAACTAAATATTTTTTATAAAACGTTTTCTAAAAAAAGAAGCAAAAAGTTAAACTAAAAAAATATAAATAATGATAATAATAATAAATTCTTCTCGCAGGTTGTCTTGACTAGCATCTGTGAACAAAAATAACTTTTTCAAAGTTTTGTGTTTCACTACTTATGTTGAGACTGAATGTATTTATTAGCAATAAAATGTGTGTTGTGGTTTGATGGCAGAATATTAACACCCCATGGACCCTCAATTAGATTAATTATTTAATAAACATCCATATGATCTGAGCTTATATAATTCAGCAATTAATCATCAGGAGGAAATTGAAATCGCTTGGAGAAAATGTGGCTTGAATGCCATCATATTCAGTAATGGGTTGCCAGTGCAGAATGATTAGAAAGACCAAACTAAGAATATATTACATTATGATTGTGTGTTAATTTAATCGTTTTATATTTAAAAATAATTAATTCAAATTTTTTTCCCAACTAAAACCCGTAATTAATGGAAAGACATAAATTGGTCAAGCGGACCACGACAACTAGTGAATATAATAAGTTAAAATAAAGTGTATCTTCACTAAAGCTCTCCGTGGCCATTTCATTGGTCGCCGAGAATCAAATAGATTACACATTTGAAAAATGGCAAAAAGGAGGGAAAATTAAAAAAGTGGGGTTGAGATGGGAAGTTAGTGTCCAAGTGGATCGAAGTCACAATAGCTCAAGTGGTAGAGCAGCGGCGTATCTAGCCAAGGTCGTGGATTCGAATCCCACTCGTGACACTGACTTTTTATCTCAAGTAAAAACCTTAATTAATTGAAAGATATTAATTTGTTAAGCGGAACACGAAAACTAGTGAATTTAAAACTAATGTTCATATAAATTTAATAGGTCCAAGAACTTTCAAGTCCACCTCGAGCAAGTACTGTTGTTAAAGAGTGTGTCAAGGCATGTCTGAGAGCGACCTACCAGTTCTTGTTTGAGAATTGCCACGAGCTGTACAACCGTGAATTCCAGGTAAGGAAACCTCGTAATAACAAGCAATCCAGAATCTATATTTATTTTTAATTTTAAGGTGGATCCAAATGAGGCAAAACGAGATGCTGAGGACAATGGGCCAAGACTGGACAGCCTTGATTTCTGGCACAAAATCATTGCCCTGATTGTATCTGTGATAGACGAGGACAAGAACAGTTACGTTCCTGTTCTCAACCAATTCCCTCAAGAACTGAACATCGGCCAAGTATGATTACCAACCGATTATAAGAAACAAAACCGAATTTAAATGTTTCGCAATTACAGCTCTCGGCCGCGACAATGTGGAGCCATTTTGCAGTTGACATGAAATACGCCTTGGAAGAACATGAACAGCAACGGCTGTGCAAGTCTTCCGCTTACATGAACCTCCACTTCAAAGTGAAATGGCTTTATACTAAATACGTATCTGACGTTCTAACTTTTAAGGACTCAGTACCTGAATATCCAGCCTGGTTCGAGCCTTTTGTTATGCAGTGGTTAAATGAAAATGACGACGTGTCTCTAGAATATCTCCATGGTGCCTTCAATAGAGACTTGAAAGATGGAGTAAGGCTTAAAATTCAACGATTTAAGGACGAATTGTCTAATAAATATTTCTGTTGCAGTTCCAAAAAAGCTCCGAACACGCTCTATTTTCTAATTCAGTTGTAGATGTTTTTACCCAACTTACTCAGTGTTTTGATGTAGTGTCTAAATTAGAGTGTCCAGATCCGGAAATCTGGAAACGATATATTAAACGGTTTGCAAAAACGATTGTAAAAGTCCTGATGGCGTACGCTGATATCGTAAAGCGAGAGTTTCCTGGACAATTAAAAGAAGAGCGAATTGTATGATACTGTGTGATTAATAATTAGGGAAAATGTAAATCTTACTTTAATATTTTTTTTCCAGGCGTGCATCCTCATGAACAACATCCAGCAGCTAAGAGTGCAACTGGAGAAGATGTTTGAATCAATGGGTGGCGAAAAGCTAGAAGAAGACGCTGCAAACATCTTGAAAGAACTACAACAAAGTTTAAATTCATCACTAGATGAACTGGCAATATTATTTGCTACCAGGTGCGGATTTGTTTTGCTAAAATCAGATTGAATACTAATATGTGGTGATTAGTGACCGTTAATCGATATTTATTTAGAAATCGTGAGATGCGGTCTGGTGTGATGTAGGTTTCAGAAAAACATTTTCGTTATCTTGCCAACGTTTCGATCTTTATTGAGATCATCTTCAGAGCTCAAAGTGTTTGTCTTCTGTGTAGTTGTGCCATTCTTGCGTGTCATGTCGAGAGTGCCAAGAAAGGGGCTACTATATGTATTTGTTATATCGTATTTAAACAATGTTTGTAAATCCCAGGCCCTGAAGATGATCTCAATAAAGGTCGAAACGTTGGCACGATAAAAAAAATGTTTTTCTGAAACCTACATCACACCAGACCGCATCTCACGATTTCTAAATACATATTGAATACTAATTGGGTTTTTTGCAGTCTGGAAAATCGAATAACAGTAAGTGTGAAGGAGCTGGGTGATCTGTTGCTCGCTATCAAAGGAGGTGGACAGATCGGAAACCAGCCTACACAGCGTAACACTGTTGCTGCCGAAGCAGACGAAGTATTGCGACCTCTCATGGTTCTTCTCGATGGTACTACTCAATTTTTGAAAAAATTAAACACAATATTTGTATGTGTTAATATTTTCAGGGTCTCTTTCCCTTTACGCTGAGTCTTGTGAGAAGACCGTCCTCAAGAGGCTGTTGAAGGAACTGTGGAAAATAGTCATGAGAATTCTTGAAAAGACTGTTGTCCTGCCCCCTATGACTGACAAGAGTGTAAATAAAATTAACTATTTATTATTTTTTGTATAAATTGATTTTAATAATACTAATGAAATATTACAGATGATATTGAAAAATCTTACTGACAATGCGAAAAACTTGGCGGCCAACGCAAAGATCGAGGATATGTCCAGGTTGTTCAAGAATCACATGGCAGGAAAACAGGATGTCAAGAATGCACTCAGCGGTGTCATTGTAAGTCAGGAAGTTAATTAACGTAATATTCCATCTCATCCGCTTTAAATACAGGAGGTGGAAAAGAATTTATCACCGAAGCAATGTGCCGTACTTGATGTCGCCTTGGACACAATAAAACAGTACTTCCATGCTGGAGGGAATGGCTTGAAAAAAGCTTTTCTGGAAAAGAGCCCAGAGCTCCAGTCGCTCCGATACGCCCTCTCGCTTTACACCCAGACTACCGATACACTCATCAAGACATTCGTCACGACGCAGGCCAATCAAAGTATAATTATTTTTATTACTAGATATGAAGTATGGTGTTCAAGTACTCAATGTGATCCGAGCATGAAGGAAATATTTGTTGCTTGATCAAACTGTAAATAATTCCTTATATATTTTTTCTGAAAAAATTTTACATAAAAGGTTTTCGTCAAGCAAATGACAAGTAAAGCTAAAAATGAGATAACATCAAACTTTAAAGAATAATAATTTCTTATTTTAAATTCTAGAACGGTGTTGGTCTATTTTTATAAAGCTATTCATACTCAGCACATAAAAAATTAAAAATATATCTTACATCATAGGAAATATATACAAAATGGTTTTATCCTTCTGTTCTCTTTTATGTTCAAAGCTATTCATTAATGCTCTAGCAAAATCACCACTGATGATGACAAAAACCTGACGGAACAAACCGGACTACTAGGATGACTGGTGGCGACCAAACTACAAAAATTTGTACTAGTTGTAAATTTTACCGATGGGCTTAATTTAACACAATCTAATTAATTCATAAAAATGGTTCCTACCTACCTTCATACGAAAATAAATAATTAACTTAAAAAAATAAAATTGGGTCAAAATGCTTGATGTGATATATTTTAAAAAACTCACTTTTTTCGTGGTCCGCTTGACCAATTAATATCATTCAATTAATTAAGGTTTTTAGTTGAGATAAAAAAGTCAGTGTCCCGAGCGGGATTCGAACCCACGACCTTCGGCTTGATACGCCGCTACTCTACCATTTGACTCAAGTGGTAGAGTAGCGGCGTATCAAGCCGAAGGTAGTGGGTTCGAATCCCGCTCGTGACACTGACTTTTTTATCTCAACTAAAAACCTTAATTAATTGAATTTTAAAAAAACATTGAACTGGTAACATTTTTTGCCCCAACCGATCAACTGAAAACCAATTGAAAGGGAAAATAAAAGAAAACTTACAAATTTTCGCATTTCAAACGCCCGCGATTGTCTTTTAAAAAATAACAAAAATAGTTATGCTCGTGAGACGACTTCAAAGATCCATTGAAAAAATTATTGGTAATAATTTTCTTCACTTACAACTGCATAAAATCTGAAAATTGTTCTAAAAGCGAGAAAAATTGTAATTACGTTGAACTTTGATAAAAATTAGGTGGAGCTATGAATTTTGAAGCGAAAAGTTGCTAAAGAAGAATCCAAATTGTTTTTCCGAAAAGGATCATTTTCTTTCTTTCCTGAAAGCTTCTTTTGGTTTTTGCATTTATTATTTATATACCTACCTAATTTCATATAATAATATTGTATATTTTTTATCTCATCTAGAAAAATAAATAGACTGATATCTAACAATCTTGAAATACTTACAAGAGCAAAACAGACATAATTAAATACCTTAATTTTTATGTTGATGAAGAATTAATCGACCACGACGATTAATGTGTTTGGTCAGAAATCAGATCCCAAACCCTAGATTTTTATGGCCTATAATAATGGACCATTATTTTTTAGTTTAATAACTAATTTAATCCATGTTAGATAAAACTTGTACTGCCATAGCAAACTAATTATTTATTTACCAATAATAAGAAAAGACTGTTAGGGGCGTTGGTGGCCGCAACGGTTTAGGCATTGACACGGCGTTCATCACTGTAAGGTGAAGGTCCCGGGTTCGAATCCAGCGGCCCTGCATTCGAACCCGACATACTTACAAATGGGCTTTTTTCAAAAACACCGCCAACCTGACCTCTGCTTTTGGTTATAATGTCTAATTGGATTGATTTCCATAAATATGATAAACTTGGTGGAATCGACAGCCAATGATTAATGATAAATTAAACTACGCATTTCTGATACATAATGAAATCAGAAAATGCAAGGCTCGATTGCAAAAATAATATATTTAATACCGAATACTTTCAAAAATGCCTATTTCAGATTCACCTTGTATTTCTATTTTTCATTTTACTAAAAACAATAAATTTTTAAAGAATATATTAAATTTAAATAAATATTTATACTTTGATGAAAAATCCGGTATTGTTGTGGCAAAAAAAAACTTATTTACAAAATGTAGGTCGTTAATTTTGTTTTATACTCGAATATTTAAAAATAGTAAAGACACTCTTAACATTAAATAGATTGACAATCTTATTTTGAAATAATAATTATTTTTATTTATTTAACCGACCAACACTTAGTAGAACTCCCTTTTTAATATCAATTAATACAAAATTTTCTTAAAAACTAAACAAAAAACTAATCCTTGTAAATACACCAAAATTATGAATGCCCCTAAAAAATTAATCATGTTTTAAAAATTTATGTGTGGGTGTATGCTTAAATGTTGTCATAGTGAGTTGTTATTTGTTGAAAGCCATGCTTTTTTGTTGATTATTGTCATAAAAACGAAATAACAATGCGAAAAAACCAAATCCAGTGCCGTTGAACAACAAAAAGACCCTGCGTCAGCGGTCAGTCTCGAGCGAGCGTGAAGACGATTCTGGGATGGAAGGACTCGAAGAGCCTCTTAGGGCTAAGAAGAGAAGGGAGTCCTCGATTCAAGGTAGGGGATCACGGGAACCAAGTTAGGAAAAGAAATGCTTACGCATTAGCAGTCAGACGAGCACAAAGACTTGCATGAGCATTGGAAAAAAATAGAAATAGTTGTTACGTAAGAATAAATTTTGTTTGTGTGTGTTAGGTGAGGCACACTCCAATTTCAAATTAGCAATAGAGCTTTTTTTATCTGTACACATGCTATTGAAATAAAATTGTTAATTTTAATAATATGAGCTAAATTTATAGATTTATAAAGTAAAAATTAACTAATCAATTTTGACTGCATGTTGCTGATTTAGTTGATATTTTGATACAGAAAACTTTAATAAATGATAAATAATTTTTTATAAAAATTAATTTGTCCATTCAAAATTCAAAAGTTTCTTAAATTGATTTTCAAGCACTTTACTTTTTGGCTTTACACTATAATCGAGCTTAAAACTGTTTTAATAAACCAATTTGTTTAGTAATTTATATTAGTCCAGGCTAACGCTTTGCAATTTCATGACATTTTCCGATTTCTCTGAGTTTCACGACAAAATAAACAGATTTCTGTCTGTTTGTCTAATTTTTCGTAAGTATTTAAGTCGTCAATGGCCAATATGAAAGCTTAATATTTTTTCATTTCTTACTTGCTAGGGAGAGATAAATTTGTGTTGTCCTATTTGAGATGTGGAGGAACTTCGTTGATTGTTTTCCACCTGGCGAATTAACCGAGTGTTCTGTCATGTCCTTTACATCCATTTATTCAATTCCTCTTTTAGCACGTTTTTGGATGATTTGAAAGGCAGTTCCGATTTAAAGGAAGTGATAAATGCTCCTGCTTTTGATAGTTACTCAACGATCATAAATATCTTCGCGTTCATGCATCGCATAAGGATATTTTATTGCGATTTATTAGGATTTATTAGTGAATTTATATTTTTTATATTCAATCAAAGTATTTAAACTCACTCAAAGTGTTTGTCTTTTGTGTAAATGTGCCATTCTTGCGTGTCGTGTCAAGAGTGCCGGTGAGATATTGCTGTTTTGTGTTTATATATGTTGGATTTTGAAGGGGTGGGGTAGGAAGTCGGTGTAGAAAAGACATTTTTGTATAAGACGTCGGCTTTTTTGAGACCGACGAAGGGAAAAAACGTTGGTAATGGTTCGACCAGATTATCCTTTCAGGATTATATAGAAAGAGATAAATAGGAAAAGGAAAGCTAAATTGTTGACAAATTCGACTTTGTGAAAAATGTTTGACGTGTGGAATGTGATGAATGTTTATATGTAATATGATATGTTTCTTATTACAAATTTCTTTCTATACCGACTTCCTTCTTCTCCCCTTCAAAATCCAACGTATGTTAACATAAATCAGCAATATCTCACTCGCACTCTCAACACGACACGCAAGAATGGCGCAATTACACAGAAGACAAACACTTTGAGTGAGAAGAAATACTTTGATTTAATATTTAAATAAAATTACAATTAATTAAGGTTTTTAGTTGAGAAAAAAATCTCAACGGCATGAGCGGGATTCGAACCCACGATCTGCGGCTAGACACGCCGCTGCTTTCCCACTTGAGCTATCGTGACCTCGATCCACTCGGACACCAACCTCCCATCTCAACCCTACCTTTTGAGTTTTGAGATCGGAGGTTAGTGTCCGAGTGAGAAGGTCCGAAGTATTCGTGTGTCGCATCTATTAGTACATTTCAGTTGTTTTCTAAAGTCCAGTACATTAGGCAAAACGAACATAGTGTCCGAGTGGATCGAGGTCACGATAGCTCAAGTGGTAGAGCAGCGGCGTATCTAGCCGAAGATCGTTGGTTCGAATCCCGCTCGTGCCATTGACTTTTTTATCTCAACTAAAAACCTTAATTAATTGTAATATATTATTTGGTCAAGCGGACCACGAAATTAGTGAATTTAAAAAAAATATTTTTTTGCATTGTATAAATTCATTTTTTTCCACTAGCTACATGTACTTGTCAAATGTTGATTGTTTGTAAATCCCAGGCCCTGAAGATGATCTTAATAAAGATCGAAACGTTGGCATGATAAAGAAAATGTTTTTCTGAAAACTACATCACACCAGACCGCATCTCACGATTTCTGAATAATTATATACAAGTATACATATATATATATCAAAATGATCGAGATTGTTTGACCGTTAATTTTTATATTACTCTAAACTTTTTCGTTGTGTAAACGGATTTATTATCACTTATAACAAAAAATTTACGCTAATTGGTCTAGAAAACGTTTAAATCAAAACAAAAAGTGTAAAATTTGAAACTTTTGAAATGTTTTTAACAATTCGATCATTTTCCAAGCTTCAAAAGCAAAAAAATAGGATTTACATAATCAAAAATTTTAAGCAAAAAATACAACCTTAAGGATAAATTTTCGGTATACCTAAAGAGGTAAGAGGTTCTTGAAGAGGTAGTTTATAATTCTTTTTATTCCAGGTCGGCTATTTTTTTTTTTTTTTTACATTATTGGAAGATAACGCTAAAGTAGCCTCATCTTCCGTCAAATGCAGATCTGCACCGTACTATTCGTTGTAAATTTTGACCAAGGCCTTATAATTTTCTACTACAATGTCATTCATGTGTATATTTTGATTTGAACATTTTAGTTTTTGTGGAGTTTTTCTTGGCATTTTTGACAAAGTCGATGTTTTAGTCTCTTCGCCCTTTTACAAAATAGAGTTTCTTTCTTGAGCAGCAATCACGACATTTGATTGTAATTATTAACGAAAATCTATTCATTCAACGAGTCAGTGCGATTTTTGGAGCGAGATGCTTGATAGTCTTCAGTGTATACTTATTATCCAATGTGTGGTTATTACCGTTAATCGATATTTATTTAGAAATCGTGAGATCCGGTCTGGTGTGATGTAGGTTTCAGAAAAACATTTTCTTTATCGTGCCAACGTTTCGATCTTTATTGAGATCATCTTCAGGGCTCAAAGTGTTTGTCTTCTGTGTAATTGTGCCATTCTTGCGTGTCGTGTCGAGAGTGCCCAGGAAAGGGCAAATTGAATTATTCAAGCTACGAAGTTGAAATCTTAGCAGTTATAAACGCATTTAAAAAATTTAAAGTGTACTTGCTGGGAAAGCACTTCACACTGGTCACAAACTGTTCTGCTATAAAAACGACTACGGCAAGAAAGCAGTCTCGCCAAGAATTGCGAGATTGTCTTTGTTCAAGTAAGAGTTTAATTTCCAAATAGTACACAGAAATGTGTGTGATTAGTGACCTTTAGTCTATGATTATTCAAAAATCGTGAGATGCGGTCTGGTGTGATGTACAAATATTTTCGTTATGGTGCTAATGTTAATTATTGGCACGGAAGACAAACACTTTGAGCCGTGAAGATGATCTCAATAAAGATCGAAATGTTGGCACGATAAAGAAATTGTTTTTCTGAAACCTACATCACACCAGACCGCATCTCACGATTTCTAAATAACTATTATCCAATGCTACCATCTCGCAATGGCTCTGCCCTGATAAACTCCAAGCTTATCTACTCCTCACTAATAAAATATGAACTTTCTCAATACCCGACATCTTATGTATAAGAAAGGACCATGATAGACCGTGCAAAAACCAATTACAGAAGAAAATGTAAATAAAAGAAGTAAAACTTTTTTTTTCTGCATGCCCAGTTCTACCTTTGAGTCAGATATTAGCACTTTTGATTTTTATTCTGTCCGTAATACAATGCTTAAATAATGAAAGATAAAATACTTTCCTTATATGTTACGTTTTTGGCACACAAACTCTAACGTTAAGTCATTTGAACTCCAATCGTTTTTTGTAATATTATTGAGAAAAAAAAATGGCTGCTAATCTCAAGGACGGATGTATTCTCCTCGCCGTCTTGAGCACCCTGAGTAGGAAGATAGTAGAGATCGTTCCGCCTTGACCCTATATTTGCGACGGAGGGTTAGTTTAGTACACAAATCTTCCTGTACAATATGCAGGCTGTTAACATAAAAGCAAATGTGAAATTTTTTGTTGCTCACATCCCACATTGTTTAAATGGCTGATAACCCACATGTTCCATTACACTGTTATTAGAGCATGTCCACTGATTCGAATGGAATTTAGCTGTAGTATTTAGGAGCATTTTTTGCACCTCTGGCACAACTTACAACTAATAACTAGACGAGCATTTTTCCTCATTTGTTACAACCTTGTTTTAACATTGGATGAAACTATTCATGACTATGAAAGTAATGTCACTCAGATAGACCAAGTGCATTTACCTCAAATATTTAATGTGTAATTAATTAAAATGTTTATTAACGCGAACATTTTACAAAGACTAGTTTTCGTGGTCCGCTTGACTAATTAATATCTTTCAATTAATTAAGGTTTTTAGTTGAGATAAAAAAAGTCAGTGGCACGAGCGGGATTCGAACCCACGACCTTCAGCTAGATAACGCCGCTACTCTACCACCTGAGCTATCGTGATTTCGATTCACGTCGTGGGTTCGAATCCCGCTCGTGATATTGACTTATGTATCTCAACTAAAAGCCTTAATTAGTTGAAAGATATTAATTGGTCAAGTGGACCACGAAAACTAGTGAATTGAATAAGTTAAAATGAAGTATATCCCCACTAGAGTTCCCCGTGGCTATTTCAATTGTCGCCGAGAATCAAACAGATTACACGACATTTGAAAAATGGCAAAAAAGGAGGGAAAATTTTAAAGGTGGGGTTGAGGTGGGAAGTTAGTGTCCGAGTGGATCGAAGTCACGATAGCTCAGGTGGTACAGCAGCGGCATATTTAGCCGATGATCGTGAGTTCGAATCTCGCTCGTGACACTAACTTTTTTATCTCAAATAAAAACCTTAATTAACTGATTTAATTGATAAGCGTAGTTTTTCAGACTTAAGAATTTTAATATCAGAATAGTTAAAATCAAGAAGGAAATTCAGAATTTTTTGAAAGTTTGTTTTTGTGGAGCGGCTTATCTAGCCGAAGGTCGTGGGTTCGAATCCCGCTCGTGACATTGACTTTTTTTTATCTCAACTAAAAACCTTAATTAATTGAAAGATTTTACAAAGAAATAATAAGTAAGTTTATAGCTAGCCAATTGAATAAAATGTAGGGAAATTGGTTCTAAGAATAGTTTTGTTGTATTTCTCACATGCTTTTTTGTTTCTACTTCAACTGTACTAAATTCATCTATATTTAAGATTTTAAAATATTGTTAAATTAGCATAGTCAGATAGCTATGCAAACTAGTCGTTTGTTATAGAGATATTTTTAATAAAAATTATGACAATGCACTTAATATTTTGTTAACTAACCTGCTAGATGTACTCCTTGTCAATTCTAGATTGGAAAATACATTTTAGTTTGTATAATTTATTAATTTGATTATTTGACTTTCAGATGTTCAACCGAGTGATGAAGGAAGTGTGGGTGAAATTTCAATTCAAATCGACTTATTCACACATCCGGGTACCGGGGAGCACAAAATCACCACAAAAGGTAATTATGTTTTTTCCTTTAGACAAATTACAACAATTAATGGGTTTGGTTTACAGTCGTGGCAGCTAATGATCTCAAGTGGCCAACGACAGGAATGTTCAGGCCGTTCGTTGAGGTGAACTTGATTGGACCACACCTGGCCGACAAGAAGAGGAAGCAGGCGACCAAGTCCAAGTCAAACAACTGGTCACCGAAGTTCAACGAAAGCTTCAACTTGTGAGAGATTCAAACAATTCTGTCTGTACAGTTTCGCAAATTGATTTTTTTTTATTACAGCATGATCGGAAATGAAGAGCAGCTCGAATACTTTGAACTTCACATATGTGTGAAGGACTACTGCTTTGCACGGGATGATAGACTGGTCGGTGTCGCTCTTATGCAGCTTAAAGACATCATCGAACAAGTATGAACAAATACCATTATGTATATTAAAAATCAATTTTAATCGCAGGTTTAATCGGTAAATTATTTAAAAATAACCTTGACATGGTATTTTTAATTAGAGGTTTTCAAAAAAGGGGGTGTTTATTTTTTAGGTGGTTAGGGCGTCCGACTCTGATTTGCATCGCTTATGGTCCTGTGTTTGAATCCCACAGCATATTTAATTTTAATCTATCATTATATATTAATGGTATTTTAATTGGCCCTTCGTCCAAGGCCAAAGTCACTTATTTATCAGTATTTGAAGGTTAAGCCATCAATCATGTTTGATCATCTTCTTTTTTTTATATGTGGGACTTGGCATTGTTACTTATTACGTGGCTCGTTATCGAGAGCTTGTAAGAACACCTTTTATTATGAGCAATTATGTTCTCTATGGTTATGTGGACTAACTAAACCTGCTTGAAGATATTTGCCTTTCGGCCTTGTTTCCTCTGGGTGTTGTCTACATTGCAAACCGTTCTAGAAAATATGGGTTGACTTATGTAGAAGGACTGTCGCATGACATTATGGTATGGTAGAAAAGGATACTAGGAAGCGGGGTTTGCACTCCCCAGGCACTGCAGCCTTCTGGCTTATTGTACCTTCCCAGTTCCTTAGTTAAATGCAATAGACTCAATTCTTCTTCTTAGAAATATCAGGTCATTGACTGTCGCTGCTGCAATTTGATTACCTAAGTTTTTTTCGTATGTTAGGTTAAACCTCCATTGAGCTGTTGCTTTGCAATCGAAGATGATACGAGTGGCTGTTTCTTCCTCCTCATTACTTAATCTGCAAATGGGATCATCGTTGTATATACCCACGTTGTGTAGATGTTTTCTCAGATGTCAGTGACCGGTTAGTAGTCCTACTACTCCTCTGAGTTTGGCCCTCTCCAATTGCAGCATGACATTATGAGTTTGCTCTAAGCTCTGCAGCGAACTATTTGACATTGCCCCAACTTTAGATTACATCGAAACCAGCTAACCTCCTAGGAAACGACAATTCGATCTCTCCCAAAGAATAATTGACTGCCCATAGCTATCCACAGATTAATCTCACTGCATCGTTTGTCTAGAATGCCTCACCTTAACATCCCTAAATATGCTCGATTTTATAGTTCTTAAGGACTATTTTTAGCACAAAGACATCTTTTCAGAAACACGTCTGGTTCTTCATAGCATGGCCACGCATAGGACAAGTCCAGCCTGTTTCGAATTGGGACACTAACTCCGAACCCATTATATTTGGAGGAAAGTTACTCTCGGTTATACCGAAGGCTTCTCGATGCGTCCATCTGATGTGCCATCCTAGAAGCCAGTACAGCAGGATTTATACGACCTTGGGTCAGCAAGGACATTAGAAACTGTAAAAAATAGTAACCGACCACTCTGGGTTATACCAATCCTAATTTTCATAGGTGATCACCCTACATATGATAATTCGTCAATATTCTTCCAAATGAGGATTACTTGATGTTATAGGGACATTTGCCGGGTGGTTAAGCACCAAGTTGTATTTACTAAAACATCTTCGTTTGAATCCAAGCACAACTCGTGAAATTTTAATTGATAACAAGATATTTTAAAGAAGTTGGACACCTGTCCTCGACAACCAATGGGCATATGGATGTTATGGATATAAAATACAATATATATTTAAAATAAAAATAAAAAAATCTTATAAAAATGTCGTGGTGGGATCAAGACAGTTGTTTCAGGCCTTTTGAGATGAAATAAAAATAACCACAGCAATTAAATACAAATGAACACCTTTTTTTCCTATTTTTTGAAAAAATAAAAATGAACAAACAGAATAAATTCCTTATTTTTTAAATTAAAATAAAATAATACAAAATAAATATCTTTTCTATATTTAAACATGAACAACACTGATTAAGGCCTTTTTATAAAAAATTAAGAAAACAAAAAACATTATGCCAGCAATAATAAAGAAAATAAATTGACAAAGGTGAACAAATGAAAATAAAATGTTCTCTGGACAAGTGATTACCCTGCAGCTCGTTGAAAGTCCAAGTCAAATAGTTGTCGAACTCGTATGAAGCCGGTTGTGCAGTCCGACGTCCAGAAAGATCTCTTCCCTCCGTAAAAAAGGTCGCTGAATCCAGAAAACGTCCACTTGTCGTCCCCGGGGGAAAAAACGAGAGCGCAAACCACAAAAAAAGACAAGCCACCTCTCTCGTCGCCATGCGTTCCTCGTCTGCCGGAGCCACCGCTCATCAAGCGAACTCTCGTGCACTCCACTTGAGAGTGGTTATATGGAGCAACTAAACACGTCAAGAAAGTCTGGCGGGTCCAGACGGCCGCCCAACTTCTTAATAAGCATTTCTTTAAACTAGTATAAAAACCCTAATCCCCAAATATCCCTGCCTTAAGATAGCCTTTTGCCCGTCACTCTGTCGGTTTAAAATTAAACATTGTACAGCTTTGACAATAAAGTTTCTTCTTTTTAAAAAAAGTCTTCTTCGAGCGATTACTTAACTTGGATGTCATGTCCTCCTGTATGACAGGAATTACTTTGCCATTTAATTACTTAATCTGAAGTTAATTTGCAATGTCTCTACTGTACACCTACAATTTTATCTGTTTTTCTGTGTTTTTCAAAATCTTTGGTACTTACTGTGGAAAAACTAATCATCTGTTCTTTTCAGGGTTCATGCGCATGTTGGCTGTCATTGGGAAAACGCATCCAGATGGACGAGACCGGTTGGACGATACTCAGGATCTTGTCTCAGAGGTCAAACGATGAAGTAGCTAAGGAGTTCGTCAAACTCAAGTCTGACATCAGGCCGGAAGACCCTCTGGCCGCCACATGAGACGACCTTCTTCCCAATAACACATTTCATCGACAGGAGTTTGTATCTTTCGGACTGTAAATATCTCTTTAGTTAAAATCTAGGTTAGTTAACAAAATATAAATTATCATCAATAAATTGTCGCGCTGAAATTGATCACAATGTCAGGTTTATGTAAATGTAAATCTCCGGCTTTTGTGGTGGAAAGTTACTGAAGACTGTTGTCAGAATAAGTTTTATTATTCGCCGGTTGTTTGGGACTGTCAATCGAACATTTGCCGTAAACTCTCAGGTATCCATGCTCAAATTATTTAATATTTTGTGCCAATATTTTCCACTTTTTCTGAAATTTCGGTCTACAAAAAACGAATTACGCACACAAATTGGTATATTATTCGGTATTATTATAATTTTTTTTAAATTGAGATGAGATATTTACAAGAATTTAACGCTTGAGCTTTCATGATGAAATGTGTTTTTGAGAACCGATTAAACAGAACAAAGCGCACATTCTGACAGGTTGGAATGATAGATAATAATCAAATAATTCGGATTTTATGGCGATTCTATGAATTAAGCCATTTGGCAATTGATATATTTATTCTTTACTTGTTGTGTTTTTTTCTATTGTTCATTATCCTGTGAAAATAAATGTAAATTATGTGATTATTGTTACCCGGTTCTTATTCATATCTTGTATATATTAATTAACAAAAATGAAAATATTGTTCAGTATAACTTCGACCATTTGTAATTTTCACAGAATAAATAGAGGCGGACTTATTGTACATTTGTGTGATTCCATAAAAATCTTTCAGACTTGTTTATGATTTGTTAATGTAATTGTGTAGTTCTCGGTTATGTTGACATGATATAGGACTGTTACGGATTTTATTGAGAGCTATGGAATTATAAAATACACATTATTAATGTACATAATATTATATAAATAAACAAAAGTAACATTTATATTTTTTTATTACACTCTTTGAAGTTGACTATTTAGTTCAATATTAAAATTATTAAAATTTAAAGAACTGAAAAGAAAGTGTACGTTAACAATTTATCACTGCATGTTTGTTAATGATATTGAACAAACTATTAATTATAACTATATTTTAATGTGAAAATGATTTAAAGTTGTTAAACATTTGAAAAAGAAACAATGTTTTTCAAGCTGATGTGTATTTTGAACTTTTTAAAATTGTTAAATATTTAGTACTGTTTTTTAATTAATGTGCTACATATCTCCCGTACAATAGCTTTATCTTTTTTAAACAGGGCATTATCATAAACTATAATGTATGATTTGTTATCAATTACAAAATTAGATAACAGATTATTATGACTGCATTTTTTATTAATCTAAAAATAATATAATATTTTTGGCTTTTTATTATATATGATGTTTAATAAGACAAATAGCAAATTCAATAAAAAAATGTATATTGCGAAATACTTTATCTTTGTAAAAAAAAAAAAAAAGGCTAAAAGGTCACATTTTTAATATTCGCTGTAGCATATAACAAACCTTCTCCCTACCATTACTACATAACTGACCCATAATACAATACAAAGTGTTTTGATTTTGCAAAAAAATAATCTCAATGTTGTACTGAAATTTTCGGTGGATTTTTCATATAATAACTTATTCTCTCAAAAATTAAATTTGCTTAACCGTTATAATAATCATTATTATCATATGTGATATTTAAAATTTAAAATACCTGCGAAGCAAAGTGTGAAAATATAATTTGTTTTTCTTTATGCACCCTTTGGGCAGAGGTATTCAATATCAGCTTGCAGATCTACGTTCCGTTTTCTTTGTGGGTACGTAAATGTTTACAGTCTACATTGAATATGTAAATAACTTAATAATGTTTAAAAAGAAAAAAAGCTATCTGTGCAAGTACGGAATATTTTGCATATCAAATTATGAACGTTTTGTAAAAAAAAATCTTAACTTGTAAGACTCATTTATTATGGAATTTTGCTGTATTGCATTCAAATGAACCAATGTGATAAGAGTGTGTTGGCTAATCCTCTATTTAGATGTGTTCATTGTTATACAATATATATGTATAAATTATTTACATGTCCATTTTAAATAAAAATATATATTCACATTTAAGATATTAAAAAAAATTGCTGACAATATGTTTAATAATAGCGAGTATCTATAAATAAAACAAAATTTAACCTTAATTTATAATTTTTAAATTAAATTCATATGGTTTTATATATTTTGTTTGGAGATAAATAAGTTCAGAAGTGTTAAATATTGTTCCTACATTTATTTTTTTAAATAAATCCAAGTAAAATTTTGCTTAACTGAGTCATGCACTTAATTATTCAACTGATAATTGAATTTCTTTTCAAATATTTTTCTTTATTCGTACAAGAAAAAATCAATTTTAGTCGCCATTAAAATTTTTAAATTTATTAAAGCTAAATTTAAAATTATTTTTACGTTATGACTCGCTTGGGCTAAAATTTTGTGGGACATGAAACATTGAACTTTGATCACTGGTCTCTTTCTAATTTCGATCGTACGATTTGCGTATCCTACATCTCAAAACGGAAATGTAACTTTTGGGAAGGAAAACCAAAAAAATATATATAAACGACCGATTACCCTGTACAAATGTATAATAAAAAAACGTAAAAAAATACGCCGTGTATTTTGAAAGATTGAGATAAAACAATTTTATTTAAGCGTTACATGTGGAATTACAAAACTGTCCTGTCAATATAATACATTGTGTGCATTTTCTTAATTATATTACAAAGTACTCACTGTAAAGTAACTGCACAAAATATGGTCTTCAGTATATTTTTTAATAATAAATTTATTTAAAGAAACTACTTTCACTTAAATTAATAAAAATGAAATAAAAAAGACAATTATATATATAGGTTTGTTTTATATATATATAAAAAAATATTGAAAATGTGTATTAAACACAATTTTTTTTAAAAGGTCTTTTAAAATAAATAACGTGGTGCATTTAGTACATGCATGATACACATTATGGAAATTTCGATGTAAACTATATATTGTAAAATGCTTTTTATTACCATAACAAAAACAAGCTTTTATTTTTTCTATCATGTACAAGTCAGAATATAAGGCATTGTAAATTTTCATTGAATGAAAGTCTTGTATATTATTGGAATATATGCATGTGTTTTTTCAAAAATAATAAAAAAATTCTAGTGTTCTACTTTGTAAAAACCTATTCCATATTATAATAAAATATTTACTATTTTTAATTTCTCTTGTAAAATAATCCGCATCGACCAACCATCACATTTTCACTGTCTTATTTTTAATTAAATACAAACACACACACACACACACACACACACAAAAATATACTGAGATGAGANGATTCGAAGAATGTTTGTAAGCAATAAACCCTTCCCTGTTAACTATTCCTTTTACACTTGTAAAGACAGATTCAGATTAATCATATCCGTGAACAGGAAAGGTTCTTCTCAAATTATAACTTGTGTTTAACTAATAAAGTTCTTTTTAAAAAGACTCTCGTTTAGTCAACACACGTAACTTATATATATATATAGCATTAGTAAAAATTAATTTAATTACCTCTGTACAAATTATATACATTGTGGAATGACATACAATATGATTTTTTCTTTAGATGTATCGTGAAAGGAGTACCACCTACCATTGTACCACCAGCTACGATTGTTGCTCTTCTAGCTTTCTGAATTAGTACATATTATTCTTAAGTAGGTCTTGGCTATCCCCGCTTCAGTCGCCTTATTGTTTTTTAAGGGTGGGTGATAGTTTTTCATAGAATGTAAATCATTTATTGAGGATTAGGTTTTTAAGGGTAAGGTCATTGTGAAAGGCAGGATTGTAAAAACAATAGGGAGCGGTGACAGTGTTTCTGAGGACTTTGGATTGGAAGGACGGTATTCTTTGTATGTTGGAAGGTTTGTTTACCAGTGCCTGATGGTAATCTATATGTGTAAGTCGGTTTCAGTAGTGTTTTTAGTTTGTTTTTGTTGATACATCAGAAGCGAATGTTCATGTTTGTCAATTCCAGGATGTTAGTCGAGATATGGCCCAAGGTAGCAGTCACTTTTTGAGATGACAGTATTATTGAGGAATTGTAGGAGGTTTTTTTTGTGGAAGTTAAAAGTCATATTTGCTGTCATTAATCTTAAGACGCTTTTACTCTATTTGGCTATTCGCAACGCTTGTTCCAGGAGCTCCACCGAAGTAGGTGAGGGATTAGAACCAGAGGATAGCACGGTGTTGTCGGCAAAGGATGCAAACAGAGTGGAGGGTGTAGTGAGAATATCTGAGGTAAAAATGAGGTAAAATTTGGTCCGAGCACTCTGCCCTGTGGCACAACAATCCCAGAGATCAATATTTGGAGGAGTCCGATCATTAGCGATTCAATCTTTCTGTTTGGTAGGAACGAAGAATACAAGTAAGGACACGTTTTAATTTTGTACATAACAAGCACATTTTGTACCTACGTAGGATTTTATTTTGTAATGGTTTTAAAACGTAATATTGTGTATAGTACACCAAATATTTAAATACCATATGTCCACGTAGGCTTAACTTTCACACAAAACCAATATGAAACCACAAGAATAGCTCCACTCTTTATGCCCTTAAGATGACCCGAATAAAGGTCGAAATGTCGGCCAAAAAAAAGTGTTTTGTCTAAACTGCCTAATTTGACCGCTCGTCACGAATTCAACAAATTATTGGCTTTAGGTTTGTACGTTAGTCTTTTATTTGGTTTTGTAAGGTTGAAGCCGCGACTTATTTACTACAGAGTACCTGTTCGCCAGCAGCCAAATTCAAAATGGCGCCGACGAACACCACCGAAGATAGGAGATATAATTTCAGTAGATTATTAGAGTTAGAAAAATGGCAAAAGGAGGGAATACTCATAAGGTGGGGTTGAGATGGGGAGTTGATGCCCGAGTGGATCGAGGTCACGATAGCTCAGGTGTTAGAGCAGCGGCCTATCTAGCCGAAGGTCGTGGGTTCGAATCCCTCTCGTGCCATTAACTTTTTTTCATCTCAATTAAAAACCTTAATTAATTGTCATTAGGTTAGAGATTTCAGCACCAATGGGGAATGGAAGATGCCCGATTGATTAGGGGCAAATGGAGATACATTACAAATAAAGATAGAGGACGGGATTGACTCACTGCGTAGAAATACTGCGAAGTGAAGCACGTGGTGGGCTGCTTAGACTAGAAGATCTACAGACGATAGGCAGCGATGTTAGGTGCTGACTAGGCCAGTGCACCGGCCTGGTTCCAGCAGCGTCGATGATGATACTGGATGATGAAATCTAAGCAGCATTGGCAGTGAGGTGACGCACTGAATCGTCCGAGGACAATGATGGACGATGAGGAAAGGATGATGATACTAGATGATGAAATCCATGCAGCGATGGCAGAGCGGTGACGCAATGAATCGTCCGAAGACAATGATGGATGATGGCGAAAAGATGATGATACTGGATGATGAAATCCAAGCAGCGATGGCAGTGAGGTGACGCAATGAATCCTCCAGGACCATGATGGATGATGGGGAAAGGATGATGATACTGGATGATGAAATTCAAGCACCGATGGCAGTGAGGTGACACACTGAATCGTCCGAGGACAATGATGGATGATGGCGAAAGGATGATGATACTGGATGATGAAATCCAAGCTGCGATGGCAGTGAGGTGACGCAATGAATCGTCCGAGGACAATGATGGATGATGAGGAAAGGATGATGATACTGGATGATGAAATCCAGGCAGCGATGGCAGTGAGGTGACGCAATGAATCGTCCAGGACAATGATGGATGATGGGGAAAGGATGATGATACTGGATGATGAAATTCAAGAAGCGATGGCAGTGAGGTGACGCAATGAATCGTCCAGGACAATGATAGATGATGGGATACTGGATGATGAAATCCAAGTAGCGATGGCAGTGAGGTGACGCAATGAATCGTCCGAGGACAATGATAGATGATGGGGAAAGGATGATGATATATGATGGCAATGAAAGGACATGTCGTATAGGACGAAATGTAAGGAGAGAATGGAACAGGGATGAAGAGATTAAGTGAATAAACGAGGCGATGAAAGATATAAGAACATGCAGTCAAGAGAAGAATTGGACGCGACATTCCAAACTGGAAGGCGAAGGGGATAATAACCCGTTAAAGTCGCGGCGATGAGAATTTCACGCACTGGCGAGAATAAGGCAATTTTAAGCGGTGGTAAATCACTGTTGCGCAATACTTGGGGATGAAAGGGTCTCAAAGATGATTCCACGTTAACGGTTAGCGGAGAAGTGACGGAAAACAGAACAAAGGCAAGAAGGAATGATTTTTGGAGAAAAAGGAGGGAAGAGGGTTGTGATTGGTAAATCGGGCTGCAATTCGGGGGGAACATTGCACATCAGAAATCGGGCGTTTTCGTTAACTGGGACATGCCCGAACAGTACCAGAATTAGTTGTGCATATCTTAAACCTATTTTTGTCCTTTTATCTTCACGTGCACTTTCCCTTTCAGCTTGGTATCTAAGGTCATTCCCAGATATTTATCTGCATGGTTATAAAATAAAAGCAATTGAATAAATTATTTTAAACATTTTTTTATTAATTAAAACACCCTCCATCCCTCTCCATGCACTTCTCTCAACGGTATGGCAAATTCTCTACACCCTCTGAATAGAATTTTGAGTCTTTATTCTTGACGGATTTTCTAACGACTTTTGAGGAATATATTTTTTATGTAAAATGGTAGTCGGTAGGCGAGAGGTCCGGAGAAAAGGGATGTTGAGGGAGTACCTCATAACCAAGGACCTACTGTTTTCGTGTGGGCACATCTGAGACCGTGCATTACCGTGTGACTGAAACGGCTTATTCCGATTGGCCAAAGATGGCATCAATAACGCCAATTTCTGATGCTTCAATTTGAGAGCAATACATTTCGCATTGATTGTTTCCCGAGGATTCAAGAAGCTGTAGTGTCAGACTAATTGAAGCCCACCAAAGAATCACCATCACCTTTTTTATGAATTAGTGCTGCTTCTCCTTTGTCGAGCCACTGTCAGAACGTTGTTACGGCAGAGAATCGACTTTTTATAACAAGCAACAATTTTATCCAGAAAAGGTTAATTTCTGTTTCGGCATAGGTTGCTCACACTTTATAACGATTAAATTCTTTAGTTTTCGTAGTCCGCTTGACCAATTAATATCTTTCAATTAATTAAGGTTTTTAGTTGGATAAAAAAAGTGAGTGACGAGTTGGATCGAGGCTCTAGTGGTAGAGCAGCGGTGTATCTAACCGAAGGTCGTGGGTTCGAATCCCGCTCGTGACACTGACTTTTTTATCTCAACTAAAAACCTTAATTTATTGAAAGATATTAATTGGTCAAGCAGACCATGAAAACTAGTGAAGTTAATAAGTTAAATGAAGTATGCCTTCACTAAATTTCTCCGTGGCCATTTCGTTTCTCGCCGAGAATCAAATAGATTGCACGACATTTGAAAAATGGCAAAGGAGGGAAAATTCAAAAGGTGGGGTTGAGATGGGAAGTTAATGTCCGAGTGGACTGAGGTCACGATAGATCAAGTGGTAGAGCAGCGGCGTATCTAGCCGAAGATCGTGGTTTCGAATCCCGCTAGTGACACTGACTTTTATCTCAATTAAAACCTTAATTACTTTATAACGACGATTTTTTTGGAGGTCGTTTAACGCATGACGAACCTAACTTTCGAGGTTTTTCACCTTACCAATTGCCTTATTTAAGGTGGTCAGCAACAGACGAAATGCTAACAGAAAGATTTTCTCCGTGTTCTTGTAGGATTTTTTTTCGACCGAGGCTTGCAGACCATCATCATCTAGGGAAGAAATCCTTCCCTCCACAATTTTCTTTGTCTTCAAAACTAATGTCTCCTTCTTGAAATTTTGAAACCATCTCCGAACGGTGCTTTCACTCACTCTGCCATCGGTTCCATCTAAATTAATGTTTCTTGTCGTTTGGACACCGTTCCGACCAAGTTCAAACTCGTAAGAAGAAATTTTGCGAAAAACACGCGTTGACCTCTTAGTAAAGATTAAATTATTCCCAAGTAGTGAAATGCATTATTTTCCGTCCAACCCAATATTTATATGCTCAGTTTACCCACAGTCTCCAGTTTTATTCATTTATTATGATGTTTAAAATTTATGAAGAATGGTTTAGGCTCGGTCCCACTGATATTTCCAAAAAGTGAAATTTTTACGTAACCCATATTTCAAAAATCTTCGCTTGATATATACTGCTTAGGTGTCATCTCCAGTTTATTGATAACTCGTGCCAGTCGTTGGTAAAATCCTGTGAGACTCCAAGGAAGTCGATAATGCTTTATATATCATCCGTTATTCGGTGAATTTGGTCGATTTTTGAACGTTTATCTCAGATTATCTCGTGAAGTAATAATCTCCAAGATGGGTCGCTTTTCCCGCTTTCCAGGCTGACTGTACCCATCGCTGTCAACATAATCACGTCCACTATACGCATCAGTAAAATATTGATTCACTGTATCCAGCTGTCTGTGTATAAGAAACAAACACTATCAGATACGTTTATCAGTGTGCCTGTGTAATTTCTGTATGAAAAATAGTTAATAAAATTTTCAGTTCATCACCCCAAAGAACACAGTACGATACTCAAAATCTGTTTTTTTTTTAAATACCCTAAAAAATTGATCACATGATTATAAATACTTGAAAAAGCGGTTGAACTTTTTACAATGTAATAAAAACATTAGCCAAGGATATTCAGAGATACAAAATTAAACAATTTTTGTAAATTTGTTGTATATTTTCTGTTACAATTAATGTACAGATATTTTATTCACCTACAAAATCTAATATTCATTTCAAAAGAAATTGTGAATTTATCAAAAGATATTTCGGTAGAATATATTTATTTTCCATTTTTATTCAAAAATATAATAACATCTTCAATTAAACCATACTGAAAGACAAAATTGTGATTCTTAGTATTAGCCAGGTTGAAGCAGAAGCGCGAAAAGTAAAGACAATAATACAATTTGAAATAATACAACACTAGAGATATAAATAAAACTTCATTTATAAAAGATATTATATATATAAATCTTAACAATGAAAAGTTATTTTATAACTCACTAAATTTTTAGAATTTTAACTATCAATTATGCTCATATTCTATTAAAACTATGTGAAACTGCAGCTATGCAATCTTCAGAGGACGCAAATATGTTCTGAACACTGAATCATATGAATACATAACAATAAACTAAGAATTAGTTGGCCAAAATTTTTACTAGAACGAACAAAAGTAACGATAAATATATATAAGCTCTTCTAATGTTTTACTAACTATTTTTCATTGACATTTTCAATTTAGCATCTACATTTCTTTACAAGACACAATTGTTTATGTAGTTTTAAAAACTTTTTGCACAATTCTGCTTAAGCCTGACGTTTTTTATGTTCTAGTTAAATTTTTTTTTTTTGGCATTGGATACATAAATACATTACAAGTGCATTTTATATTATTTTATATGAACAATCTATATTATTATGTGTTATCCACGTTAACCAGTGAATGAGGAAGATCAGAAGAGAGATTTGGTTGGTCGTCTAGGGACAGAATTTACCCAGCTGCTAGTTAGTATAAAATTTTTACGACAATTTTAGAGGAAAATACGAAAAAAATTCAAAATTCCTTGATTTCCCGAGCGAAAACCTTTCAGAGAAATTTATTTATATTTATTAAAATTAAATAGAATTTTTGACAATTTTAATAATTGTGATACAATGATACTAAATAATACATAAGCAATGCTAATTAATGTTTATGCATATTTTTCCAAATTTGCTTAAACATTAAAACCTACAATTCGCTTACCATTTATATAATTTTTTACAATTTCTAAATGTATTCTCGTCGAGACTTATGCATATATTTCTAGGACGAAATAAGTATGGCGTTTTCATTCCCTAATTTTTATAATGGTAGCTTATAACTACATTTTTCAAATATGATCATTTTTCATATCGGCCTTATGAGATTTAAATGATATCACACTATTTTTTATTTTTCAGTCACATTCCTGTACACTTGAGTCATTTTGATAGTTTTTTTAGACGTAACTCAGTTATGAATTTGTATCACCTAAGAAAAAATTAAATATTGACTTATAGTAAATGTACAAATCTATCCATCTTTTACATTTCTTCAAAAACATAAAGTCTAAAAAATACGTCAAAATTTTATTAAAATTTTAATAAAATAATCTGTGGTTAACGGTTAGAAACAAATTAGAAAAGAGTCTGGAGTCTTAGAAGACACTGCACAGCGTGCAACAAGTTTTCTTCTCGTAATTTTCACTGTTCATTTTCTTTTTGACAAAATCTGCAAACAAAAATTACTATCAATTATATCAGAATATGGCTCGATCTAGTTCAACAACCTGCGGGACTTTTGAAATTGACAGCTTGTAGGGTTGAATGGAGTTCTTTCAAAATGTCCGAATTCTCCGGAAGACCGTCCGCCCATATGAACATCATCCTTTCCCCGTGTTCTTTGAAACTCGCAGGTCCTTAAAAATGTATTTGTTTTCAACGCCATTTCTATTTTTTAAAAATTCAAACAAATAGCTTTAATATGAAAAAACAAACCAGCGTATTGCTGTTCAATTGCTTCTATCTGCTCCGCTGTAAAATTCCAATGGGCTGCCAGCTCCTTCCACTGCGAATCCGAAAGATGTTTGAAAGCCAATTTATGGAAAATTTCCTTCAGAACCTCACCCTTGTTAGGAGAAAGAGAATGCTTTTTTGGCCTTCTTAAAATTGCGTTTCTGACCGTTCCTTCTTTCGTTAAGTTGGATTCCTGTCATTCAAAATGCGGTTCCAAAATTCACGCATTTATGTCACTATTAAATATCCATACTTACACTTTCGGGGTAATCTAATCTTGCAGTCTTTATGATCATATCAACAATGGCAGTGAAACTACCTCTAGCAGCTATGTACAACGGTGTTCTTCCGTCCTACAAATATAAGTATGATATTTGAATACAAAATAAACTTAAAATAAAAACAATGAACTTCATTTTTACCGATTTTCCGTCTATTATGAAAAAGCAAGTAGATTTTCATAATGGTAATTTCATAATTTCCATAATCATAAAAAGTATTTCAAGGTACAAACCTAACAAACCAGCACCCGTTGGTTTTCACGTATGTGTTTTTTCAAATTTACGTTTAAAAAAAATACTGTTTCATTGCGCTAGAAGCTTTTGTCAATCATATCGGTAGCATGGAGGGAGTGATATCACAACATCAAAGTGAACGTGTGAAAAATGAAAAATACTCTGAAAATGAGCTATATGGTCGTCTTTGTATGTTTATATTCATGATTTTCCCTATTAAAACAAGGACACAACTTGATCGGCAGATTACATGCAAGTCTGCAAGTTTATGTTATTAAAAAAAACCTGTACTATCCAGAGTGCGATGAATGCATTATTTTTTAAAACAGCGCCTTCCTCTAAATCTGCCATTTAACCAAAACCACGTTTTATTGGAAAATATATCTTCAGGTCTCAAAGTGTTCGTTTTCTGAGTAATTGTGTTGAGAGAGCACTCTCAACGCGACACGCAAGGATGGCACAATTACGCAGAAAACGAACACTTTGAGACCTGAAGATGATCTCAATAAAGATCGAAACGTTGGCACGATAAATAAAATGTTTTTCTGAAACCGACATCACACCAGACCGCATCTCACAATTTCCGAATAATCATTGTAATTTGTGTAATAATTAATATAAATCTCAATCGAAACTTATAACTGGCGAATTTAGTAGGACTAGATTCACGCAACAAGGCACATGTCCCCAAACTCTACAAACGAACTACAACCTTGGAGAAAAGTGAAAAGTATGCCGACAAACAGAATAAGTGCATTGTATGACATATTACAAAAATTGAGCACTTAGAAAATTAAACTTTTCTCGCTAACCGACGGAGAACCAAATTGCTTGAAAATAATATTCTTGTCTGAAATAAAAAATTTAAGGATAGCGGGAATTATGAGGTGAATCCAAAATGTTAGCTCTCTTCATAAAAAATGTGGAAGAAGTAAGGACCATCTTTTAAATTCAATAGTCTCAGCGAAAACCGAATTAACGAAGCGGTATGTATGCCGCGTAATCAAAGGAAAGGATACATATGAGGAAAAAGATTTTTTATTCAGAAATGTTTTAGTTAACAAAATACGCACAGTTTACAATTGGAGATATTCACTAAAAGATGTACGAAAGACCTCGTAGAAAACGTTAGGGAAATTGTAGAGCAATTGGGTATCTACCGACCTAATTTAATAATAATAAATTTATGCGGAAAATATTGGTAATATAATAAAATGGGAGGCTGGTAGAACTCCACACAATTTCGGGTGGAAAACATGGCCAAAAGAACCACGGAGTCAATGACAGAGATGGAAAAATGAATGAGGAATAATGTCCAATATTTGACAAATAATCAGTCAACATTACTCCGACCAACGGGAATAATTCAATAAAAACTAAACTATTCACTTTTCCAAAACACACTTCTTTTCCAAACCTACAAAATCTCCAACCTTTCTTTTCGAAATCCCCAACCATTCTTCAAAATTACAAAAACCGCCTACTATTCCAAAACAGTAACGCACTAACACCTATATGACCAAGAGGAACTCATCGCGACAAAAACCAAATTTTGGCCAACACTCGCCCAAAACATTAATACAAAAGCTCTCTGTGGCCATTTCATTTGTCGCCAAGATTACACGGCATTTGAAAAATGGCAAAAAGGAGGGAAAATTCAAAAGGTGGGGTTGAGATTGGAAGTTAGTGCGCGATTGGATCGAAATCAAGATAGCTCAAGTGGTAGAGTAGCGGCGTTTCTAGCCGAAGATCGTGGGTCGGAATCCCGCTCATGACACTGACTTTTTTTAACTCAACTACAAACCTTAATTAATTGAAAGAAATTAGTTGTTTAGTATATTGGTTTGGTATTTTGTCATGTTGTATGTAGGTGAATTTACAAATAAAATTATTGTTCTTAGAGGGTGTTGAGGTTTATGAGTTTTGCCAGTTCCGTACAGTTTCCGGAGAGTTGAAAAATTGTTTTGGAATGATTTGTAGGTGTATACGTCAATTTTGTTTGTTTATGTGTTTCTTGAATGATTTTGTTGGTCTGCTTTATGAGTGATGGGGTAGAGTCTGATTTAAGTGTGTTGTATGTGTTTTTGTCGATATTTTTGTTAATTTTTTCGTTGTACTCTTCTTTTCTAATTGCTACTTTGTTTTGTTTTACCCGAAGAGAGAATAAATATGTCTCGATTATTTTTGAGAAAGTTTTTTTAGTGATTATTCAGAAATCGTGAGATGCGGTCTGGTGTGATGTTGGTTTCGGAAAAACATTTTCATTATCGGGCCAACGTTTCTATCTTTATTGAGATCATCTTCAGGGCCTGGGATTTACAAACATTGTTTAAATTTAACAAAAACCTGTAGGATGTGGACAAAAATGAATTTATTCAATGCAAACAAATATTTTTTTATATTCAATTTATTTCTACTCACCCAAAGTGTTTGCTTTTATCAGGTGAAAAGAGGCGACTCCTTATACAAAAATGTCTTTCTATACCGACTTCATCCCCACCTCTTCAAAATCCATTATATACGTATAAACATAAAAAAGCAATATCTCACTGGCACTGTCAACACGGCACGCAAGAATGGCACACTTACGCAGAAAACAAACACTTTGAGTGATTAGAAAAACTTTGAATGAATATAAAAATATTTTTTTGCATTGTATAAATGTACATTTTTCCACATCCTATTTGTTAAATTTAAACGATGTTTGTAAATCCCAGGCCCTGAAGATGATTTCAATAAAGATCGAAACGTTGGCACGATAAAGAAATTGTTTTTCTGAAACCTACATAATACCAGACCACATCACACGATTTCTGAATAATCATCGCCGAACGGTCACTAATCCCCACATTTTTTTTTAGTGTACGTTTGTTATGATATGTTGGGTTGATTGGTAGTGAGATGTAAGTGATTTGTTATTTTTTGTTTTTCTAAACCTACATAACACAAGACCGCATCTCACATCTTCAAATAATCGCAGCGACGTATCTAGCCAAAGATCGTGTGTTCGAATCCCGCTAGTGACACTGACTTTTTTATCTCGACCAATACCTTTCATAAATATTATTTAATTGAAAAATGTTAATTGTCAATCAGGCCACGAACTGTAATGGATTCAATAATTATAACAAAACTGACACAAAAATTTTTAGATTTATGCAGATTTGACGTAATGAAATTTGATAATAAGGAACCACTGTACGTCATTGACTAAAAAAACAAATCAAAAATCAATCGATACGGGTAGTACGCGTTCGTTCATCAATCTGCCTTTAGTAGAAAAACATTTTAAGTTAAATTAGAATACGAACTGATTGAAGTAGTTCGACCTCGTGGAAAGAAAACAGACGTACGTTACAGATTTCTGAACCGCTCAAAAAACGGACATGGAATATTTTCTATCATAAACAATCGATTTATTTTGTGGTACAGCCAACATTAAATGACTAAAGCGACAATCTATTTTCCAAATCACAGACTCGGAATATAGATCCAGAATTCGTTTATTTCAAAACGTCAAAAACAAACGCTGATTCTAGGAAGGAACATTCCGATTCAACCTAGAAAAGAACCACACATAAACTAAAATAACTTCTATGACAATAGAGGCGAAATCCGATAAAATAATTCCAATCAGAAAAAACGGTGAATCGCTGAAAAACGGGTGTGAAATAGGAAATAAAAAATATAAGTGTAAAAGATAGCAAAGCCCTTTGCTTAGCAATAATTTGTACCTCAAACGCCCAAGAAACTAGACGGCAATAGAAATTGGAAACTGCGATAAATCTAAAAGTCTGAAATGAATGGTAAAAAAATTCTAATACCAATTCAAGCTCTATCGATTTTATTTCCGAAACCGACTGGGCCATTGAAGATTTATTTGATTTAAATAATTGAAATTTCGACTTTCCATTACGTTTCTCTCTGAGAGATGCTGGGAACGGTGATATACCTGTAAAAACTGAATTTTTGGTACTTTCCGGCCAAAATGATTTGTTTTGAACTAAATTGTGCCAAGTGTAACCGGGTTATTATATTTAGTGTTGCATTGACGAAAAGAAAAAGAATGTAGGCGCTTTGTCGTGTTATTGCCGGAGAAAAACACAATTGATCTTTAGATTTTATGACTCATAAATGGAACCCAGAAAATACGGCACTTATTATGAAAATCTTTAAGTTCCTACTTTTTCAGTTGTAAGCATTTATTGTTGATTTAACGATCCAAGTCCGAAAGTTAATTTTATTTCTGTTTCACGTTCTGCTGAGTAAGTTTATCAAATGCGACAAACATTGATCTCAGCTATCGTTGCTGCATATTAATAAAACCGTGTGGACAAGTTGGGTTAAACTCTAGCCACGATAAACGCAAAATCTGTCATCTTCGTTCATTCGCGTAGCAATTCGGATGGTTTATGAACCTGAAACCCAACTTGTTGAAAACTTGTACAGACTTTGTTGTTTTACAGAAGTTGCATGTGTGATGTGGCGATATTGTAACGTTGAATTCCTTCTATTCTGTGTGTTCTGTGTGAATTTTGTTTACAGTCCCTTAATTCTCTCACTCTAATCAAAGTTACGCGATTACCGTGTCAAGAGCCCTCAGTTTGCACAGTATCACGCCTGGTTCGAATGGAGCCCTCAGGTAGGCAAGGTGCAGTTAATTTCCTTCTTTTCGTTTGATCAAAGTTTAGGGAAGATTTTAGCTGATCACAGCTCCCCGTCTTGGTCGGTGGGATCGATCTGGACATACATCGATGCGGCCACTCCAAAGATGTATCACAACTCAACCGCAATGTAAACTGCAGGCAGTCATCATAATTGGAAATTCACTACAATAGTTTTCGTGGTCCACTTGACCAATTAATATCTTTCAATTAATTAAAGTTTTTAGGTGAGATAAAAAAGTCAATGTCACGAGCGGGATTCGAACCCACGACATTCGGCTTGATACGCCGCTGCTCTACCACTTGAGCTATAGTGACCTCGCTCCACTCGGACACTAACTTCCCATCTCAACCCCACCTTTTGAATTTTCCCTCGTTTTTGCCATTTTTCAAATGTCGTGTAATATATTTGATTCTTGGCGACGTTCAAAATGGCAATTGAATTGAACAACAATTGAAAAATGGCAAAAAGTAGGGAAAATGCAAAAGGTGGGGTTGAGATGGCAAGTTAGTGTCCGAGTGGATCTCTAGTCACGATAGCTCAGAAGGTAGAGTAGCGGCGTATCTAGCCGAAGGTCTTGGGTTCGAATCCCGCTCGTGACATTGACTTTTTTATCTCAACTAAAAACCTTAATTAATTGAAAGATAATTAGAAATAATTAAGTTTATAAATTTTGATCATTATTTGATGGTTGATGCCTTAAACATTTTCATTTAAATCGCAGAGGGCCGGCGATAACCACTTGATGTTTGTTGGCCCATAATTAACATATACAGGTTTTACGACGATATTTCCAACACGATATGTTTTTGTAATTTAGAGCAAATTAGTTTAATCCTGGGGAAGAATCTGAGTACGGCTTAAAACCGGCGAAGTAACTAATGCACAAAACTAAACGTTTAAAAAATATTGTCGTGTAATAAAATAATACCTCTAACATAAGTTTTATTTTAATACTCAGGGGTTGTTCTCGAGAGTTGGGTTTACTGGAATGATGGAGGAGGTTTAAATTTGAGCGATTTACCCCTGTTAAGTGATTTTAATCAATCTCACCTGTTCTTTTTGTTCGATATTGGCTCCCGCCGACAGCAAAAGTTTGCATATCTCGGAAAATCCATTTTCAGCAGCAATATGCATGGGCGATTGAGACCGCTAATAAATAATATTTGAAAATTACATGACTAAAATATACACATATAATACATTTTAATTATGTATGGTAGTGATATGTAGTGTATGATAAATTCCATACCTCGTTCATTAAATTGACATTAGCACCTTTCGATATCAAAAGTTCGACAGTATCTACATCATTTGCATTACAGGCTAAGTGCAAAGCGGAATCTCCCTCCTGAGAAAGTTTTCTTTCATTAAATATGTGCGTGTCGTATGTTTTACGACATTTCATTACCTTATTTTGCCGGTCGATGTCACAGCCGTACTGGATCAAAGCTTCTATGATTCCCCTACAACCATGGCTACTGGCTATATGAAGGGGTGTATGACCTTTCTGTAAAATTATAATATTGTGTTAATTATTAATATTATAATATAAATTATATGATTTACTGTATATTAAAAAAAAACATTGCCAGTTCTAAAATTATTTAGAAAATATACACAAAATAAGGTGTTTTGGTAGGCCTGGGTCAGACGTCGTTGTTATTCCAGCAACCTTATTTTTCGACTAAAGTCATTAAACTCATTAAACTAAACTCACTGTCACTAATTCTTAAGTACATTATTTTAAATTATTTACAAAACATTAATGAAGTGGATCACTCAATAGCCCAGCAACGTTTTGATTTACTATATGTAACTTTTTATATTTTAAATGGCATTGATTTGTATATTAACCCTGCTTATTTTATTGTAAAATTAAGTTTAGTTTCGAAGGTTATCTCTAAAATTACACCCTGTCATATTAGCAAAGGCAGGAACGTGTTGTTTTTCGATGCCTGTTTTATTATAAAACTAAGTATATTTTACACATACATGTATACAGGTTTTACAATGATATTTACAACACATGTTTTTTGTATTTAGAGCAAATTATTTTAAACCTGGAGAAGAATCGTGGTATGGATTAAACCGGGCGTAGTAATTAATGTACAAAACTATATCATGCAAAAAATTTTTTTTCGCGTAGAATCTGCTTTGCTATTAGAATTTGAATAACTTGGCACCTTAAACTGTCCTGTTGATCAACTTTTGCTTAAGGTAATCCACTATTTTGTTCACACATTTTGAAAATACTATCTATTCTGAAAAAAAATTGTACAAGAAATTAAGATTTTTAGTTGAGATAAAAAAGACATTTGAAAAATGTCAAAAAGGAGGGAAAATTCAAAAGGTGGGGTTGAGATGGGAAGTTAGTGTCTGAGTGGATCGAGGTCACGATAGCTCAAGTGGTAGAGCAGCGGCGTATCTAGCCGAAGGTCGTAGGTTCGAATCCCACTCGTGACACTGACTTTTTTATCTCAACTAAAAAACCTCAATTAATTGAAAGATATTAATTGGTCAAGCGGACCATAAAAAATAATGAATTATACAAGAAATTCAAACTCTGTCCATTTGTTCTGGAGATATTGAACTTTTCCTTTAGAACTCGATAATTAAAATTTATAAAGTAACTGGTTAAAAAAATAATTTAAAAATGTAAAATTTAATTTGTTTCGGCTTTTTCCAAAGAAAGTTAATAAACTACAACAGTTCCTTCCGAAATTTTAAATTTTCATTTTTAATACTAGTTAAGCAATTTTTTTATTACGAGGGTTCGCAGTAGCGGAGGTTTTGTCAAATCTCGGGCTGTCGGTGTTTATGAAAAAAGTCGGTTGGGTTCAAATGGAAGGCCGCTGGATTCGAACCCCGGGCCTTTACCTTGCATTGATGAGCCTTGTCAACCGCTTAAACGGTGCGACGACTTTCCATCGTGGGTAAGTTGTTAGAGCCTGTTCTGAATTATTTCTCTATCTACTCCCTGCGCGAAGATGATGGTAATCAGAAGGACTTCCAGGGTCCAGTTTTTGGTCAAAGATGAAGATTAGATATTTTACTTCCTTAGAAATGGGAATCTGGTCCTTTTGGCACTAGTGGCTTTCATGCTCCTAGTTTTATGGAATATATGATAATTATAATAAGGTATTATTAAATGCCCTTCTTTTTGGCACAATCGTTTTGTTATGTTCTGAGCATGTTGCACAGCGTCTATGATGACTTCACCAAACGTCCTTTTCCGACTACCTGCATGTTCCAGGCAATAAAAGCGTAGGGAGGGAAAGCAGTATAATGAGATAGTTATTCAGATATATATCTGAATAACTATCGATTAACGGTCACTAATCTCTATAATGAGATAGTAAACCAGCACTGATCCGGCCAACAGGGCAACACCTTGAGGAGAGCCTGTGGTAATAAGTATGAGGAGACCTAGATATTTCATAAATTAATATTTATGGGATAAAAAAGTCAGTGTCACGAGAGGATCGAAGTCACGATATCTCAAGTGGTAGAGCAGCGGCGTATTTAGCCGAAAATCGTGGGTTCGAATCCCGCTAGTGACACTGACTTTTTTTATCTCAACTAATACCTTTCTTAAATATTAATTAATTGAAAAACGTTTATTGGTCAATCGGACCACGAACTGTAATAGATTTAATAATGAAACTGAAGTTATCTTCACGAAAGCTCTCCGTGGCCATTTCATTTGTCACCGCGAATCAAATAGATTACACGACATTTGAAAAATGGCAAAAAAGAGGCAAAATTCAAAAGTTGGGGTTGAGATGGGAAGTTAGTGTCCGAGTGGATCGAAGTCACGATAGCTCAAGTGGTAGAGCAGCAGCGTATCTAGCCGAAGATCGTGGGTTCGAATCCCGCTCGTGACACTAACTTTTTTATCTCAACTAATACCTTTCATAAATATTATTTAATGAAAAAAGTTAATTGGTCAATCGGAGAACAAACTGTAATAGTTATTTAATACAATTTTACCAGAAATCAAAATTACTTCGATTCTTTTATGATATATTGAAGTTTTCCTTCAGAATCTTATCATTTGCATTTCTCGATTCTTCTTTCCCTGGAGAAAGTATGTTTTTATTTTTTGATGAGAACCATTTAGGTTAAGCTTTTTTCTTTATGAAATGGATTAATGTTTTCCTCACGTTGACACATAATCCCACACCACCTTTTTAGTAAATTGGAGGACTTTGTATTTGAGAAGATAGTTTAAGTCCAACAGTTTCTTCATACTTACCCTTTATTATTACTAGTAGGACATCAACATAAACTGCGTAATCAATTCTTTAAACAACAAAAGTGGTGATAAAACACCCCTTGGGGAATCATTATTGTGGTATTTGCATTAAAAATTACTCAAGTAAATGGAATACAAAAACAGTAATATTTTGTCTTTTCAGCACAGAAAAAACTTCGTCTATTACCAATACGCATTAAAACATAGATGCCTAGTTAAGAGTTACAAATTTATTTTTAATTATATTATTTAATTTAGACGGTAATTTTGCAGTAAAATATGTAATTAGCCCTGAAACAATTAATTGTTTTCTTCCCACAGCAAGGAAGTTTGTTAGGTCAATCATTTGAAAAAAAGGTTTTGTTTGGTTTCTAATAAAATATATATTGCTTTGATAACTTACATTATTTTCTACGTTGATTTGAGATCCTCCTTGTAAAAGAATGTACGAGAGCTGGGTGTAGAGATTTTCGACGACTAGATGAAGAGGTGTATTTCCTTCCTGGTCTTTCCCTTCGAGGGAAGACCCGTGCTCAATCAGTAATTCAGCAACGGATTCATGACCATTTTCGCAGGAGAGGTGAAGTGGTGTTTTTCCAATCTGAAAACATCGTCAATCGAATGAGGCAGAAAAATTAAATAAAAACTTTATCTAATATACAAAACAAATAATTAAATTATTACGACAATAAAACAAGGTTTCAAAGGTCACAGGTTGGCCGTATCGATCTAGCCCTGGGTTAACTTAAAGGAGAAAACGATGCTCATTAAAATATAATCTTCACAGAAAAACAAATCGACTCATTCCTTTTATCTTCTTCTTTATAAAGCAACTTTTTAGGTAAAGAAACATAATACAATATAATGAATTGTTTAAACCTTAAAACCATAGAAAAAGTGATCTTACAAAAAATTGAAAAGAAATTGTTTCCAGAAATTATGGCCAAAGACACCACCCAAATGAATTGATTCTTTAAAAAAAAACACATATTGGACCTACACTGACACAAGCAAACCATAATCAGTCTTCCCACTGGGGTCGCAATGTCTTATAACAATGAGGTTCTTTAGCGTGCGCACCTAGCCTACCGGCCTTATCACACGTTTCGATTCTCAAGTTAGGAGCGAATCACCTCCGCGCGCGGAAAATGTGCTTCTTCTCAGAAACCCACAAATCCACAGACTAATCGATAAACATGCTGACTTCTCCCGCTTTCCCGTTCCGAGGGGTTTGGGTTAACTTTGTGAACTTAACAAGTTGCCTGCCCACGTAATGGGAACTGACAAAAGTGGCCGAAATGCATCAGCCAAGTAACCCAACGAACTCCCTAGATAGAGAAGACAACTCTATCTCCCTGGGTGAAGGGGCTCCGCAAGCGTCGAAACCTCTGGATCCGGAGAAGGATCGGACCACCTAGGCTAAGCCTATAGCGTCCCTCGAATGCGCATGGCAGGTGTAGGCTGAGCTCGACTGGAGATTTTACCGTAGGCGGTGCTAAAATGGTTAAAAATTCCACTTTAAAAGAAACCGCGGCCGGAGCGGATCCGAAAGTTTCGACGCTGAAGGAGCCCCAACATTCTGGGAGATAGAATCGCCTTCTCTATCTAGGGAGCGCGTGGGAGACCGGGCGGATGTATTTCGGCTTAGGTAAGAATAACCTGCTCGCGGCATACGGTCTGGTGCTCAATGCAGACCCGGCCACTTGGAATGGACAAGAGGGGAGCGAGGTTGTCTTGCCCCTTCGGATCTGAGCTGCCTCTACACCAATGCTGCGACAGTAACATCATTCTGTCGTATGTGGAGGTGCGTCAGCTCTCCTCATGACAATCAAAACGTCCGATAGGGCCGAATAGGCTAGGTGCGGACGTTAAAGAGCCTTTTTAGGATGACCGAGTATGCGGGAACCTTACTGCACGGAAGGAGCGTAAGAAAACTTATTTTGGGGCCTGGAAAAGAAATAGAAGTAATTATTGGCCATGAAGTCTCGGTGGCACCTCACCGGAGGTTGGATACCTCTTGTGGTGTCCTGACATGCCATGACCTCCAGAGCGGCAGGATCATTAAGGAATATCTCTAATAGGAGGATGGAGTGAGTAGGATGAACACCCGAACGAATGCGAAATTTGTACGTACGGCGAGTCTGGTCCTCACTTTTGACACCGTAAATGTCCTGACGAAATATGGGTAGCCTTATATATATTAGGTACATGCCAGCCCTACTGCGTTTTTACAAATACCAACGCGTTGGGCATATGTGCTTTGCGAGTGAAAGAGGGAAGCTCACCCGAAAGAGTCGACGTGCCGCCTTGTGATGGAGGAATATCGAATACTGCATGAATGGTATTTAAATCGGAGTGAATTGGGTTTGGAAGTTTAGGTGCCGAATTGACCTAGCTGGAGCAACCTCGTTGGCTGGACAGATAATACTGAGGTCTTTCCCCGAAATGCCAACACCCGNAGGAAGTGACGATTCAAATAAAGTTTCACCTGCAAAGAATCGTGTGCGGGGCATCCATCAAGCTGGAGAATCATACTTTGTCGTTGTTGCAGAGGAGCTTCTGATTGTTGTTAAACGCCCCTCAAATAATTGAGGAACTGAACACCATTTAAATGATTTTAGTAGAAATAAGGTCAAATTAATTTATTTCCGAGAATTCCACACCAAACGTTGATACTGTGAACCACCTGATGATGAAAAAGTACAAAATTCTCGGATTTTCCTCTGCCCACCTTCGAAAATTCAATCGGTTTAGTATGCCATTAAAGGTGAACATGGATTCATCAGTCCATGGGATGTATGGAAGAACGTTTGCTTCAGCCTCCCAATCGACATTTGTGCAAGTAATATTAGTCCCTAGACAAGATGAGAGCGATATGGCTTAAAATTGTAAGTCCGGTGTATGTCTCTAATTTCACTTTTCGTAAAACCTAAAACCCTTCCAACAAGCCGGGTTCTCAATGATGGAACACCAACGGATCCGTATCTCCACATATTACGAACATCAAGCATAACCGTTTTGTGGTTTACTCTGAGGCGATCAGGAAACTTCTGGGAGAACAACGCAACTGCACGACGCGCAATACCACCACTATCCATAAAGCAGTTGTACATATGAACTCGTTCTTGGTCGGACAAAAGGTGTTCTTCGGTTGATTTTGTAATACTGAATGTAACGAATATGGTAAAACTTATTTGCTTCCGGGAATTACGATTTTCTCCCAAAATGACAGAATATAAACAATAAATGCAATTATTGTTTACTTAAGTGAAAAAAGCAAATTATTAGAATTACAACGAAACGCGAAATGCGTTTTTTCAATTTTTGTGCCATAACTGTGTCACTTTTGTGGAATTTAAAATCCGATTGAACCGTTGGTTTGAGCGTAAAACATTCTTTAAAATGGTGTGCCAGGACGTATGGGGTCGAATTTGAAATTTTGAACTTGATCTGAGGTACCCTGTGTAATTTTTTTCCAAAGAACTCTAAACATTTGAAACGACTAAAAAATGTTAAACACATATTTTTTTGTTTTTTGTTAGCGTCATTGGTTCAAGAGAAATTCATCCGGGCCAGGTGACCCTGCATAATAATAATCGTGGTACGAATGTCATACTAAAACAATTAATTAAGGTTTTTAGTTGAGATGAAAAAAAAGTTAATGGCACGAGCGGGATTCGAACCCACGATCTTCGGTTTGATACGCCGCTGCTCTACCACTTGAGCTATCGTGACCTCGATCCACTCGGACATAAACTTCCTATCTCAATCCCACCATATGCGCACGAATCTAGCCGAAGATCGTGGGTTCGAATCCCGCTCGTGCCATTAACATTTTTTTCATCTCAACTAAAAACCTTAATTAATTGTAAATTGGTCGAGCGGAACTTGAAATTAGTGAATTTAAAGTCATACTAAAAGTTAGTTTAATGAACACAAATTTTTCCAATCTTTTGGCTATTTGTCCTTTTTTAAAGGATTTTGCAAAAGGAACTTAGATAATACCTTTTTCCAGTATCTAATAATATTATTCCAAATTTACATGTTGAAGATTGTACAGGGATGATAAGTTAAAATGAAGAATACCTTCACTAAAGCTCTCCGAGGCCATTTCATTTGTCGCCGAGAATCAAATAGATTATCCGACATTTGAAAAATGGCAAAAAAGAGGGAAAATTCAAAAGGTGGGGTTGAGATGGGAAGTTAGTGCCCGATAGGATCGAAATCACGATAGCTCAAGTGGTAGAGCAGCGGCGTATCTAGCCGAAGATCGTGTGTTCGAATCCCGCTCGTGCCACTGAATTTTTTATCTCAACTAAAAACCTTAATTAATTGAATTTAGTGTTAACAATGTTTTTTATGAAATATGGATCGATTTTTTGGGACGTCATCATGAAGTTCAAAGACTATAATTAATTCACTGTGAATAATTTATTATTCATTTTTAATTTACGATTTAATTTGTTTTTATTTGTGAAATCTGCGTAAAGAATTCTGTTGGGATTTGCAGTTTCCTTCTGCTTTCATTGATGCATTATGTACTATCTTCATTCCAAATCTCGCCAGGAGGTTTTTGTCTGTGTCCAGGGGCGTATTTCGGTATTTTCTTACTTTCACCATGTCTTATATCCTAAGACGTTCAAAGATAGTGTGGATCCTTATACAACGAGATTTCGTTTTGTGCAACTAATCGTTTTAATTTGTTGAGTTTGCTTATGTAATCTATTGTTTCTTCTTTTTCGGGCTGTTTTCTAATTTAATTAAAACGTAACCCAAATACGTTGGAACTAATCAGTCCCATGTCCTTGTTACATGCTTTATTTAAGAGATCTATTTCGGACTCATCCGCCGTCAGTTTCTGATCCGGAAATACATTTTTTTAATATAATCTTTATTTATATTTTATGTTTTACTATCATTTTGTGGAGAGGGATTACTCACATTATTATTGTTATCAAGTAGAGTTACATGATCTCATCCTCATACATGCGAGCCATACTATTTTGTAAGTTGTCTTTGTTTTGTTATTTGTTTGACATTATTGCCTCAGGAAATCACATCGTACAGTTTAATCATAAAACGCAATGAATAACAATAAAAAAAATTAAAGTTGGTATAGAAATAATTATAATTAATAATGTAAATGTTGGACCAATTTAATAGAATTGTTTTTTTTACCCTGCTACTGACAGAAAATAGATAATACTTGATTGGCAGTTTGACAATCGCAATATACTTCGCTTTGTTGTCAAAAGCCTTCAGGCGTCGTCTTTTAGCAATATAACATTTCTTGCTCGACAGCTCGTTCATTACTGCTTACCACAGTTACCAGTGCCATCATTTTTTTCCCTTTGTGGAAAGGAAAATATTTTTCTTTTTTGGGACTTAACAAAGTCATATTTTGTTCGTCGAAAAACATAAGTTAGCCGCTTATATCTTATATCAGTAAAACTCTATTTTGCTTAAGATGAGCACAACATAAAAAATGATCGGACAATCTGTCCTATCCGGAAAATTTTTGTTTAAACAAAATAAAACTCTCCAGATGGACTGTTATGGCAGGTATACATATTTATGATTTATAATTTTTTTAATAGATCAAGTATGACAAGATTTTCTTAATAGGTTGACAGAATCTTCTTGCTACTCGCTGTTTCAAGTTATAAAATTTTAAAAAAGTCATTAAAATTATGGAAATAAATAACAGAAAGAATGTTTATATCGATATAATTTATTTTCTATTTGCGTTAATTTTTTAAAATAGGAATGACTGCTATCCCTAGTGGGGAGATTATGGATATTGAGTGGGAAGGTAGAAAGGGAGATTTTAGAAAACATTATTCTTAAAAACATTTTATTAGGTTTCGTGGCACGTTTGACCAAATAAATTATTTTCAATTAATTAAGGTTTTGGTTGAGATAAAAAAGTCAGTGTCACAAGCAGGATTCAAACCCACGACCTTCGGCTAGATAAGCCGCTGATCGACCACTTGAGCTAACGTGACCTCGATCCACTCGTACACCAACTTCCCATCTCAACCCCTTTTTGAATTTTCCCTCCTTTTTGCCATTTATTTGGTCAAGCGGACCACGAAAGCTAATAAAATGTAATAAGCAAAATGATGTATACTTCACGAAAGCTCTACGTGGCCATTTCATTTGTCGCCGAGAATCAAATAAATTAAACGAAATTTGAAAAATGCCAAAAAGGAAGGAAAATTCAAAAGGTGGGGTTGAGATGAGAAGTTAGTGTCCGAGTGGATCGAGGTCACGATAGCACAAGTGGTAGAGCGGCGGCGTATTTAGCCGAAGGTCGTGGGTTCGAATCCCGCATGAGACTGACTGTTTTATCTCAACCAAAACCTTAATTAATGAAAAGAAAATTCTTAAAAACGAAATCAACTTTTCCAAAGATTGTACACTTCCTCTACATACATAATTTCTGCAAATGATTTTATATTTTTTCAAAATACGATTGTCCACTTGCAAATAATGAATCAATCAATTATTGGTAGTATAATAAATGTGTACCTTTTGCAATTGCTTACCTTGTCTTTGGCTTCGATGTCGCATTTGGCATTAATGAGCATTTTCATTATATCCGTGTTACCTTTAGATGCAGCCCAATGAATTGGAGCACGTCCATACTAGCAAAATAATTACAATTATTTTAGTAGTTTGATTTAACAAAATACACTGATGGACAAATTCAACGCACTCTCTATTTATTTAGCTTAAAATTAAATTCATTCCTTTTCTATAGTAGTTACAGTTACAAACAATCGTAATCAAAGTGAACAGTAATGGTTGGTTTACTTATCTGCTCACTTTTGTACTGATTAACCCCATTTATACAAATAGCAGTATTATGCTGTTCCACTCTGCTGCGCCTAAAGATCGTTTTTAGTTAAAATTTTCCATTCGTTGGTTTCTTTGATACTACTCTTATTCTTTCACCTTGTTTGATTTGAGTCGCGCATTTGAGTAAGTATGACAATGTAGAGTTTCAATCTTCGTAGAGGTCAATAGACAGGTGAAGAAAGAAGAAGATTAATTGTTGGGTTCACCAACACTTCGGCAACTTATTAGCCCTGATATAGCCCTGATGATGGCACAAGTTGCCGAAAGTTTGATGAACCCAACAATTGATAAGATTGAAACTCTACATAGATTATATGCAGGTCGATCAAAAAACATCATATCTATAATATGACAATGTCAGTGTCATTAGAATATTAGAGGGCGGATACAGTCAGCGCGAAATTGCCAGTGAAAATCACTACAATAGGAAGGGTTCTTCGGCGTTTCAAAGAAATAGGGATACGAAATATAAGGCCAGAACAGGGTCGTCCTAGATACATGGACGGGAGAGACGATAGATTCATAAGGCTCTACAAAACCGCAGCATTACGGGAAATGAGATATGAAAAGTCAAAAATGTTTTGGTTTCCTCTAGTACAGTATAAAGATGGCTCAGTAAAAATAAAACCTCATGGGGGAAGAGGTCTTTTTACAGATGAGGAAGCGTTGGCCTCAGATCTTTATATGGACCTAATTACGTATGGAAACGCTTAGGAGAAAAGTACTCCCCATACTGTACGGAGGTGACATTCTACAGCGCCTCATTGATGTTCTGGAGGGGCATTTCGTCGGACTCCCACACGAATTGGTTGTGAAGCAAGAAAGTAACTTCACAGAGGATAGACATAATCGACGAAAATGTAATGCCATCGGTGAGAGATTGTTGCTAGTGCAGGATAATGCCAGGCCCCAAAGAGCACGTATGACTTCGTGAAATTGGATGGAATTGATTGGTTAGTTAGGCCCTCTCTATGTCCAGATTTGAACCCAATTTCACATTTGAGAACTGCGACTCGAGCGCGAGTACGACTGTGAATCCCAGGTCCTAACATCATAGAAGAGTTTGAAACTCTTGATGAACAGGTAAGAATTACTCAGGATCTAGAAATCTTTTCCATGGAAGACAAAGGCGTTTAACGGAGAAGATTCGTGCCAGATGTGGTAAACAATATTTAAAAAATAATTTTATTTGTTTTTGAATTTGTTTTTACTTAATATTGCTATCTTTAGAATTAAGTAATAAATATATTCGTTTAAAATGTTTTATGTTTACAAACAAATCTATTGTTGGAAAGCAAAATATGAATAAACCTACGTAAATTAAAATATTTTGTCCATCAGTGTATATATGCATACAGTGGGCCAAAAAATTATTTATATGCTTGGTTTTTTGGCAATTTTTTCTTTATTTTGATGTTGTACATTGTTTAGACCATAAATAAGACAGTAATATGCTGTAAGTATTTTCACTTAAATTCCTTCACTTAGATGAAACAGTAAAATAGAAAAATTGTTATTTTGAAAGCCAAAACACTGTTTATAGAGTAATTGGATGATGTTGTTTGGTTTACTTTAGAATCTGGAAAAGTTCGGTCGAAAATCATGAGAATTATGTTTCGTAATGTAACTCAAGTCTAATTTTTGCAAATTTTTCGAGTCACAAATTTCCACTATCCGTATTGAATTCACACGTTTTTGTCCGCTTGACCAATTAATATCTTTCAATTAATTAAGGTTTTTAGTTGTGATAAATGTCAGTGTCACGAGCGGGATTCGAACCCCGACCTTCGGCTAAATACGCCGTTACTCTACCACCTGAGCTATCGTGACTTCGAACCGCTCTGACACTAACTTCCCATCTCAACCCCACCTTTTGGATTTTCCCTCCTTTTTCCTATTTTTCAAATGTCGTGCAATCTTTTTGATTCTCGGCGACAAATGAAATGGCCACGGGGAGCATTAGTGAAGATATACTTCATTTTAATATTAAATTCACTAGTTTTCGTAGTCCGCTTGACCAATTGTATGCGTATTGAGTTGACCCTGACCTCCAACAGAGTCACTTGGCCAGTAGAACAACTCGGTGGTAGCTTCTCAAATTTGAGACTTTTAAACTACACTCACTTCAGGCAATAAAAATGATCTACATTCTCTTCTCCTGAACTTCAGCTCGAAAATGGGAAATGTTGGCTATAATAATGGTGGCACGCCAAACACGAACCACCATGTTTATATCTATCTGATAAATATTGAATGGAAAAACACCTTAAACAAACCGCCTTATTTTAAAAATAAATATCGTTCACAGAGAGATAACTTGAGGAAAGACAATCAGCCAATTTATTGGCTCCTTTTTTCAAAACAATCATACTTTGGACTCGCCTGAACCAAAAATGTGTGAGGGTTTATGTATATATGTTCCTGAGCGGATGCGCTGCTAGAGATACTTTTTTGACCTTTTTTTGCTATAAAGTCTACAAAACCCTTACAAGCAGGCACAGCCTTTTTATGAACTTCCGCTTTGAATTAACGACGCGACATTGGGTCTATCAATCTGCAAAAAAGGCACGTCACTCAGATCAATCAACTTGATTCGGCAAGCAATGGTTCAATCATGTTCAAAGATGAATCCGGTATAGACAAACCAACAGATCCCACATAATTTTATAATTGGTCGTACTGAAACCTTTCCTGATCCAAGAAGTTATTAATTTCATAATCGAGCAATTTAAGTAGTTCATCAGAATCTGTACAATCTCAAAAATCTCCTTCGAAATGATGATCAATCTTTCGTAGCCTTATACATGGTTTCAATTGGATGGGAACATCTGGTGTTGGAGAGATTGACAAAGTATCTTGCACATAAAACTTTGTGTTATCTTTCATTTAGCTGGTTAAGCGGACAGCGAAAACTAGTCAATCTAATAAGTAAAAATGAAGAATATCTTCACTTAAGCTCTCCGTGGCCATTTCATTTGTCGCCGTGAATCAAATAGATTACACGACATTTGATAAATGGCAAAAAGAAGGGAAAATTCAAAGGTGGGTTTGAGATGGGAAGTTAGTGTCCGAATGGAGTGAGGTCATGATTGCTCAAGTGGTTGAGCAGCGGCGTATCAAGCCGAAGGTTCAAATCCCGCTCGTGACACTGAATATTTTATCTCAACTAAAAAACATATTTAATTGAAAGATATTAATTTATTTTCTTGGGACGTTTCCTTATATTTTGCTCTGAACAGATATTTCTCATAGGGTCTCGAATGAAACACCATGTATATTAGAATAGAGCCACCTTTTGAATTTTCACTCCTTTTTGCCATTTTCAAATGCCGTGTAATTTATTTGACTCTCAGCGACAAATGAAATGGTCACGGAGAGGTTTAGTGGATTCAAATTCACTCGGAAAATTCAAAGGTGGGGTTGAAATGGGAAGTTAGTGTCCGAATGGAGCGAGATCACGATAGCTCAAGTGTTAGAGCAGCGGCGTATCAAGCCGAAGATCGTGGGTTCGAATCCCGCTCATGATACTGACTATTTTATCTCAACCAACAACCTTAAATAATTGAAAAATATTAATTGGTCAAGCGGACCACGAAACTAGTGAACTGTATGTTATGTTTAATTCCACCTAAAAAAAGCGTGCCGAATTTGGTAATCCAAAACACCTACTTATTACAAAAAGAAATCGACCCCAAATAAACCCAAAATTGTTCAATATCCACGACCACTACATTTCCCCAACATATCCAGTCACATGCTGGTGAGAAAAATTCAAAATTTAGACGTCTCGCAAAGAAGCTTATAGTAAGTAAAAGCTGGTATAAATCACACATGAAGTTTCACAAAACCTAATAGAATGCTTGAAAAGTTGTGAACTGTTAATTTTCGTAGTTTTGTGAGTGTAAGCATAACTTTTTGGGATCAAAAATATAATTTTTCAAATTTTAATTGTTCACCTAAATATTTTTTAACAAACAATTTCAAACTTGTAATTGATTCGTCCAGTCTATGGTCCAAAGAAGGTTTTAGCTATAAAATAAAATTAAAGATGAAACTCGAAAAAACTGTGTGTATAAATAATTTTTTGACCCACCTATTTTAATGGGGATTTGTGTATTTAAGGCGACTTACATTATTCCTAGAGTTGACATCAATCGGCTCTTTCAGCACCTGCTCTACTACTTCAGAGTCGCTTTTGATCACAGCCTCATGAAGTAAGAGATCATTTTTAAGAACTGCAAAAGAAAATTAGATTTTTTAAACACATTATACTTATTGAAGACGATAAATATCAGATTATAAATTTTTAAAAATAACGTCTTGTACAGTACCGTAAACACAAAAATTTAACTTATTTCTTGGATATTAAAAAGTAAATTGGATCGTGGAATAATCGTAAAATTGGGAACGGCTGTAGCCGTGTATTTAAGGCATAAGATTCTCGGCTGGTAGATCGGGAGGGCGTGGGTTCGATTCCCACCGTCTGCTTTGGATTTTTTTCTGAGGGAACAGTGGCCGCAATGAAAATTGAAACGGCACTTATCAATGGAAGTCCTGGTGTAGGATCAAATTTCAGCGACCCTCAATTTGGTCTAACCTATTTCGAAAATGAGTTTCTTGGACGAAAAACACTGACATAGCAGTTGTAATTTCTCGAGTGAGTTTCGCTCACGTGTTGCGAGCTCCAAAAAATGCAGCCAGCAATAAGTCCAATAAGTTCCATAGAGCTGCAGGACTCATGGAAAAATTCTCCATTTCTTGGTATCCATCACAGCAAAAAGTCATAAAACTGGTTAATGTCATAATGTCAATGTTTATGTTTAAAATAAACTACGTTAAATGACCCTAGAAGCATAGTTGGTAAACTCTTAATGATTAGCAATCTTCGATTTTGAAAAATATTTGAATAGCATTAAGCAGTAGGATTTCTACAACTTCTCAAAATAGGGAAATCTAAACTTCTATAAAAAAACTACACTTTTCTAACACCGCAACAACGATCGCTCACTCAGACGTTCTGCCTGGCAACAAATTAAAGACAAAACATTTCCACATGGCTAATTTTACCGAATTCACATTTTGTAATTGTCTTTTCATTAATTAAGGTTTTTAGTTGAGATAAAAAAGTCAGTGTCACGAGCGGGATTCGAACCCACGACCTTCGGCCAGATACGCAGCTACCACTTGAGCTATCGTGACTTCAATCCACTCGGACACTAACTTCCCATCTCAACCCCACCTTCTGAATTTTCCCTCCTTTTTGCCATTTTTCCATTTTGTAAATGATAGTTCTCCTAACAGATTTGTAGTTTACAATAATGCTTGCTGCTTGTAAGTATGTCTGGTTTGAATGCTGGGCCGCTGGATCCGAACCTGGGACCTTTACCTCACAGAGATGAGCGCCGTGTCAACGCCTAAACCGTTGAGGCCATCGACGCCCCTCACACTGTTCTATTTAAATTGAAATTGAAATTCTGTTTTGTTTTATTTAGATGGATTTTAAATTCAGAAAATTTGTTCGATTTTGTTTCTTTAACACTCGTTTTAATTCTTTGCCACTTTGTCCAATATATTTATTATCGCAAACATTGCAATTAATTTGGTAAACCCAACTTTTTAACTTTAGTTTTTGAGAGCATATTTCTAAGTGAACCTCTGAAAGCTACTCTAAAACTTTTTCCTTTAAGAATTTTACCCACTTTTGCTGATAGTTCCCAATGAATAGCAAGCAACGAATACGTAATGATTCATTTTTGGAGGATAGCTGAGCTTCAACCTGATGATAAACTACAGTTAATTAAGGTTTTTAGTTGAGATAAAAAAGTCAATGGCACGAGCGGGATTCGAACCAACGATCTTCGGCTTGATACGCCGCTGCTCTACCACTTGAGCTATCGTGACTTCAATCCACTCGGACACTAACTTCCCATCTCCACCCCACCTTTTGAATTTTCCCTCCTTTTTGCCATTTTTCAAATGTCGTGTAATCGGATTGGATTCTCGACGACAAATGAAATAACCACGGAGAGCTTTAGTGAAGTATACTTCATTTTAAATCATTAACTTCACCCCACCTTCTCTTCACACTTCATCTTGAGATCGGTGGATACTAGCCTCGCGATCGGAGGTGTGGCCACAAAGAGGGCATTCTGGCGGGCGCCTTTTTCCTTAAATATCTTGTTTCTCGTGCAAACAGTCTATTTGGTCATTTTTCTTTCATTAATCAGTCTAGACTTAAACGATTTTAAATAGCACGTTTCAAGTGTTTCACATTTGTCAGATGTGCAACGACTGACGTTATGGATTACCTGCCACTGTGTTGATGTGATCGTCGTTATCATTAAGAATTTATATTGAAACTACGAAGAAGGAATAATTGTCCGGCTTATAACATTCTTGTATGGAAGGTAAAACGTCCTTGGAGCCCTGGAGAAAATTGCGGTTGGCAGGATAACTAGGAATTCTTCTTCAACAGAAGTTATTGCCTCGGTTCCCCAAGGAAAATACAACAAATTCGGAAAGATTATTTGTACAACGGTTGAAATGTTGACAATAATTGATATCCGTTACTCAATAAAGATATCAGATGGTAAATTAGGAATAATCAGTCTTTCGCATTGACATTTTGAGTACAAAGCGGGGCTAATTACAGTCGGCATAGAATTGTTCTGATTAATCACCGATACCCTTGACGGATCGATAAAGAGCCAAACCCAACAGTACAGCCCGAATCTATAAATATTTCGAAAGAATCGCAGTGCGAGAATTTACTCATTATTCCTTCCGGGATCAATCCCCTTTTATTTAATTTTCTCAGAGTCAGTTCATATTACAGAGGTTATATTTCTCTCTGAAAATTTCACCTTACAATCTGAGAAGTCTTTTATTCATTTGAGGAGGAAATGTTTACGAAGTTAAGTGTTAAATATTTACTTATTTGTTATTCACTTTTTTTAAAGGTCTGGTAAATATATTACAAGGGAGATTCGGTTTGTAAGTAGATCATTTGATTTTCACATGAATGATGAGTGGGTCTGAAAAGTTGAGGTTTGTTCTCCGTGGCCATTTCATTTGTCGTCGAGAATCCAACCCGATTACACGACATTTGAAAAATGGCAAAAAGAAGGGAAAATTCAAAAGGTGCGGTTGAGATGGGAAGTTAGTGTCCGAGTGGATTGAAGTCATGATAGCTCAAGTGGTAGAGCAGCGGCGTATCAAGCCGAAATCGTGGGTTCGAATCCCGCTCGTGCCATTGACTTTTTTATCTCAACTAAAAACGTTAATTAATTGTAATATATTATGCAATATTCAAAAATTTGTACGAATCTAAGGTTATCGTATTAAGCTAACTTGAAAGCAACAAATTTCTAGAAGAAAAAATCGCACGATAAATGTAACGCGTAAAAACTTACGAACATTTTTATTTGAATAAGTATACTTTCTGAACTTGTAGTTATTAAAAACTTGTATGATTCCATCAGAAAATTTGCACCCTTAATCGACAGTTCGCTTTCTTTAAGTTTACGTCGCTGCCCTCCTTGCTTAAGCGCGGATTTTCATTGAATAATAAATTTCACTATAATATTAGGGATAGATTTCATTTCATTTCTCGGCGAGAATCAAATAGATTACAAGACATTTGAAAAATGGCAAAAAGGAGAGACAATTCAATAGGTGGGGTTGAGATGGGAAGTTAGTGTCTGAGTGGATCGAAGTCACGATAGCTCAAGTGGTACAGTTGCGGCGTATCTAGCCGAAGGTCGTGGGTTCGAATCCCGCTTGTGACACTAACTCAACCAATACCTTATATAAAAATTAATTAATTAAAAGATTATATTATTAATTGCATATTCCATTTATTTTAAAATATTGTTGCATTGGAAATGGAAATCATACATTGCTCATAATAAAATTAAACTATCTCGATATATATGATTTTACATATTACGCTTTAGTAACACTTATCTTGTGTTTCATAATTCTCTATATTTTGTTTATTTACTGGGAATTTATTCATTCTTTGTAAAATAAAACCCGTCGATTGTAATAAAATTCAATATGAACTTATATTGGAAGTTTTATAATTAAAGCGTTTAAAATAAAATTAAATTTTTCTATATTTATATGAAACGTCGCTGTAGCAAAGGCCATAAGTTGAGAGCTAACATGGCGTTGTTTTTGTAAGAAAAATTGATAAGCAAAATGCAATGCTTGCCATATTATTATTTCTTCAAATATATTAAAACAATTTCATTCTCCTATCTACTACTTAAGAAGTGCACTAAAAAAATTATTTAATTGAAATATTAGGGATAGAGCTGTATAGACGTAGAGTAGACTATACATCTATAAAATAGGGTAGTGCACATCAACGATTTAGAAATTTTAAATGTGGGTCATCCCTGACGTCATGTCAATTATAGTGAGTAGGTAATTATAATCTAATTAATGTCATTCCAAAAAAGTAAGCCCTAAAGGCACAACCAAATGCTGAACTAGATTTACAATTAATATATTTTCTGTTTGGTTAATTTGTAATCGTTTTATTGATTATGTCATAAAATATCGTCATTTTTCTTTTTTCAAACTGCATTTTTTAAAGTTTCTCTCAGCCAACATTCTGTCGAACCGTTCAATAAAATCCCTCTTGGTCCATGCAGACGACATAAATATTTCAAGTTCATTCCTTTATAAGTGTTGAAATAAATACGTTAGAAGGAGGAAACGTAGGAAAGGAATTGAATATCAGTCCAACCGGGGAAAAACTACGTATCCCTGCCTATTCAATAATTCACATCTGTCGAGGATTTTTCTTGCATGCACAAACGGCAGAAAAACAGTAACCTCTATTCTATGCGCCTTAATGGTACTCTATGTAATTGATATTAAATTTTACCAAACTGACTGCTGATTGGCGAGAGGTCTGACTTTACGACATGTCATTACCTATTCTCGAAAAACCCAACAACACAGTTTTAAAAATCTAAGACCACTTTTCTTTGATCGTACCACTCTGTCCTTTTCAAGTATTCAGCTTGCTGTAAGAAAAAGTGCACACTCGTAACGTAGATCTCTAATATGCAAATAGGAAGAGATAAGAGCTCCTGAACTCGGCCAAGTGTTGTTTCTTCTTTATTTTCATCAGTAGTATATACGTACTTCAGTACAAATCTTTTCATGTCTTTTCATGTTGGAAAGCTTTTCTACTTAACTTTCTTAAACTACTTTAGTTGAT